ACCCCAGATTTAATGATAAAAAAACCGCTCTGCACGTGTATCACGCTTTTTAGTACATTTCTTTGACGTCCACTGCACGACTACGACGTGAAACCTCCTAATTTGACATTTTATGGAGGACGTGGACATACGACGACGAATTTTCTTTCCTTTTTTTGAATTTGAATAAAATCCTAAAGAATTCAACTCCAGGAAAAGTCGCCTGCATTTAACATAAAGAGCGGGTCCAAATAGACGCGATTAAGTTTGACAGAACGCGAATTCATTTTTTTGCGACGTTTTCACCGCCATCGTCATCTTCGTTGCTTAAGTTCCCTATTATATCCGCGTCGACGCCAATGATTTGTGGGTTGATTTTGTTGTTAGCCGAGAGGCTTTTTCTACAGTTACTCCGGTTATCCCTTCTCATAAGAAAAAAAAAACATTTCCAATCCAATTCAACCAGACATGGAAGACGAAGAACCACTAGGTGGATGCCCTCCATCTAAATCGTTTTTGGATCAATTCGGGTTTCTAGAGAACTGCCCACCTACCCCAGCCCTCCCCTAAGCCAACATTTTGCCCTAAGGGAAAGGTAAGTGATAATGTTGGCTTAGGGGAGGGGTAGGTGGGCAGTTTCTCAGAAACCTAAAATGATCCTCGTTTTTAAGAAGGGTGCGAGGGAAACTGGGTGAAAGTCATTCCTCTAAATAATCCCATGGTGCAATTCTCTTCAACATTAGGACGCAGTCTTACAGGCAACCACCAGATGACTAATGTGATTTCGATAAAACGTTTTCTTTTGAAATCAATTTACAAATTAAATGCAATCTAAGTTACAGGTCCAACTCAAAGGCAAGGAAAACCTTGGGGACTTCTTTATGATGGTAGGGGGAATGCCAGTGGGCGCGGTGGCTTGACCTCTTAAGTAGACCATACTATTCCAGACAAGCAAATAAGGGTTATAGTGATTTAAATGGCGCTTTAGTTGTTTGAGTAAATGGCGTTTGTTGTTTTCAGCAGCCGGTGGTTTGGATTTAGATTTACCTTTGCGCACATTCCTATAATCCTAATTGAAGAGCAAATAGGCTACTTGCGAAGTGAAAACGTCAATATGAAAAGGAAAATAAAACAAAGATTATAGTCGTTGCTGTTGTCTTACCTTTTTCTAGCTCCAACGTCGCCTCCGCTTAATGTGACCGCACACAACACCAGCTCCACTAGCATTTTTGTCACGTGGTCTCCTCCACCATCGGACAACATTCCAGGAATTCTTCTGGGCTACGAGGTCTCCTACACACCTTCAGAGCCAGAAATATCCCACAATTCATCAACTATCAGAAGAGTTATGTTGTGTTCCTGCAATACATCAATAGAATTGACAAACCTCACCGTTTATGAACCTTATAACATCACTGTTGCTGCCTTTACTTCTGCTGGTATTGGGAATGAGAGTGAAATAAGACAGATTTGGACAGATGAGGAAGGTTTGTTCTTCAGCTGTCAGGGGCACCCAACGAGAATATAGTTCAAAACCACTCAAACATAGCATTTTTAAACGTATTTTAGTATTTCAACAGCAGATATAGGCATATTTTTATCCCCTAAAAATTTTTCATCCGTTCGGATTTCCTAGCTGAAAGTCTAGTGATCCGAAAATTATAGGGATCAAAACTTACCTTTTCGAAAATTTCAGCCAGAAAAAAGGCTCCCGAAAATTCTAGGTGACCTTTTTAGGGTAAAAATCCGTTGAAAATAGGCAATTCTACCATTTTTTAGATGTGCGAAAATCCTAGGAGAGACGGGCAAGCAAGAAATTTTACAACAAATGTTTCGAAAATTCTAGATCTCAAATCGTCTTCCGAACAGATATTCTTCCGAAAATTGTCGTTGGGTGCCCCTGAGCTGTGAGAGAATTGAAAGCTCGCCACTACGACATTCTCGCTAAACTCGTAATAGAATGACGACGGCTATCAAGTTTTCCCGCCAAAATGAGCAATACTCAGTATTGGGAAAATCTTGTACTCATAGTCGTCCTCGTCTTAGAATCTAAAAGCTCTCTGATAGTTTAGTCGTATTGTGTTCTGGGCCTGGAAGGGCTTTCCCGGGATCCGCAGTTTGACCAAAAATACAGTGTGGGATTCGGGAAACGCTAACGGGCTACAGGATTTGACTGCTACCCGAGTAGCGGGATTCCCCAAACATTGACTCTGGGAGGGGGGATTGGGAAAGCAGACGATATTCGGGATGGCGATGACAGAAGTTCGGGACGCGAGATTCTCGTCAAAAAGGAGAGCGAATGTGGAATCAGGGCACCGGTTTCCCAACCCTTTGTGTTTTATTCATTTCATTGTGCAGTACTCGATACTCTTTCTTGCACTGTGCGCTATTGCAGTGAATTGTACTACAATGTTCGTTTCTGCATCGCATTCAATTGCACTGAACAGTACTTACTTTATTACATTGCGTTGTTCTGCACTGTATTTTATTGCATTACGTTCTACTTTATTGAATTGCATTGGATCGTTGTAGATAAAATCCTCAAGAGTCACTCTTTACAAAGGGACTATACATTAGAATTTCCCGTGGCATTCTTACGTCTCATCCACCGAATAGTTCCTGCCTTTAAAACTTCTCTTGAATTGTCAAATTAACGACGTTAAAGAAGTGGGGGTTTAGATCAGGTAATTCCTTGACCCGTTCTCTCCCAGGTAAGTTTATGAAAAACTCCAAGGGGTTGAGGGAGGGGTTCCCGTTTTTCTTAGTGGGTGGGAGAGTTTTAAACAGAAAAATCCTCCTTTGGGTTCAGGTACGAATATTAGGGAGCTTTAGCATCGACGACGGTAACTGCAGCGAAAACGTCAGTTTTAAAATGAATTCCCGTTTTTTCAATCTTTCTCGCGTGTATTCCAGTTTGCTGAAAATGGCAAGTGTAGGCGAATTTCCCTGGAGTTGAGTTCTTGAGGACCGCACTCAAGTTTAGAGAGAGAAAAAGATATTCGTCGTCGCTTGTTTACGTCGTCCATAAAACTTGAAATTAGGCATTTTCACGTCGTAGTCGTGCAAGGACGGTAAAGAAATGTACAAAAAAGCGTGATGCACGTGCAAAGTTGTTGTTTTGCGTAATAAACCTATTGCTTTTTTGACGTCCTCTTTGCCGTCGCCGTGGTCGTTGCTAAAGCTCCCTGTTATCAGGACAATGTAAACACGGCAACGCCAATTTGGTGCTATATGGGGTCGTGAAAATAAAAACATATCATATTTGGGTTTTCTTGCAGCACCAAAAGAGGCACCACAAAATGTCTCAGCAGTGTCCGAGACTTTTGACAGCATAAATGTGACCTGGAGAGAAGTTCCTGAAGAGAAAAGAGATGGCATAATTATTCTATATCAAGTGATGGTCTTTTCTGATAGCTCCTACAAATTTCATAATACAACTGAGAGCAACCGTGCTATCAAGATACATGGCTTAGAAATGTTCAAGATGTATGAAGTGACAGTCCGAGCCTTTACAAGAATTGGACCAGGCCCCTTTAGTCATTCGACAAAGCTTAAGACGAAAGAAGAAGGTATTTTGAATTGAATTCACATAAATCAGCGGTTTGTAGTCATGTAATTTATGCGCGAAGGTAATCTGCACTAGTTTCACGAATAGCTAGTACGAACAAAGAAAAGAAAAGAAAGGCAAAAGACTTGGGCGAGGTTTTCTCTTCCCAGTCTTTAGCAATGCTTTCTCGACTGCGTAATGAACACACTACTGTTTTTACTAAACTTATAGGCACTTTTTTTTAAAATTTAGTAATATTATACGCACTCGCCACTTGCACATCTCACATAATGCACCTTAATTGTCCCCCAAAATTTTGCATAAGCATTGTTTTCAATTTCTTTTGGGAAGGCTGTAATACCCAGGAGAAATGAGAAACAAAGGTTATGCAAATTTCTTTTTTTGGCGGGGGAGGGGGGAATAAGGTGCATTATCGGAGATGTGCAAGTGACGAATGCAATAATCTTATAAATTTTACACTTCGGTCTCTAGTCAATTATGATACACTTTAAGTAGTTTTTTAAATGCGATTTTAATTGCTACAGTAGTTGCGTATTTTAATTTATAGTGTCCCCGTTTAGTGGTTCCTCTACTGCTATGTTAGTTTGACACTTAAATAAAGGTATTGATTGATTGATTGATTGATTGTTATTCACAAAGGAGGCCAGCATGTACCTTTTCAGCAGAAAAATTGGTGCCGAGTGCCAGAAGGGGCTGTAATATTCTACTTAAACGCGGGTTACTTTTTCTCCACCTGAGCGGTTTACCTCACCTACCTGGGGTCCCCCAGCTCCAGGTAAACCTGGGCCCTAACTCGATATTTATTATTTTTTAACAGCTCCATGGTTCGCCCCTAACGTTACTGGCCATGCAATCAACAGGACAGCTATTAACGTGACATGGGATATTGCCCTGCCTAAAGGATTCAAATTACGAGGGTTTAACGTGACTTACGGGTGGCAAAACGTGACTTACAGGTGGCAAAACGAGACTTACAGGTGGCAAAACGAGACTTACAGGTGGCAAAATGAAACGGTCCGCGTCAACGAACCCGAAAGGACAGTGGTTCTCACGGGACTTGAGGTGTTCACCAAATACGAGATCAAAGTAGCGGCGGCCACAAACTACCAAGGACCCTACAGCCAGGAAATTTTAGTCAAGACCTCAGATGGAGGTGAGGGTTGAAAAGTTATGTTAATTAGGCTCTTTGCTCCCTCTCCCGCCCCCAACCCGCCGCACCCCAGCGGGTGCTCAACAAAATTTTGTAAGGAGAGGCTTCGTCCCAAGGTCCACCCCTTACCCATTTTTAGTAAAATCCAACTAGTGGTCTAGCTGCTACTAGGCTATATGTTATAGCCCACTAGTAGCGAAAAGCGCCGGCTTTGAAAACCAAAACAACGGCGGCTGAATCGCGTTCTGCTAGCTAAAGTTGTTTTGTCTCGATATTTTTGACCAACTATTTGGATTTTACTGAAACAATTATTCCTGTCACCCCCATGGCCTCTGAGTCAATAGCCCATTCGGGCTCGAGGAATCATTGTTAAATATACCATTGTTGACATAAAAGGTACCCCTTTCGTATACCTTCTATTGACAAATGGCTCCCCTTTTGCATACCTCCTACTGACAAATGGCAACCCCTTTCACATGCTAGTTTAGAAGGCTGCATGCCTTTTAACTGCTGTAAGTGCACCCTGTTTTAAATATGAATAAATCACCAAACCAGAAAGTTTTCTTGTCTTTTACACAGCCATGAAAATGCGATTGTTGGCCCTTTTTTGTCCAATCACAGACCGCAATGACAGCTTTCCCTACCCTTTCATATACCTGGTGAAATCCCTACCCTTTTATATACCTAAAGCCTGAAAAAGGTTCCTCTTTGGGGCGGAGCCTCCCCATACAGGCCATTATATTGAGCACCTCTCCCCAGGCCCTTTTCAGCTTGAAATCGCGCGACATGCTTATTGTAAAAATAATGAGATACAAATTAAACAATATCAGAGATGAAAAAGTATTAGAAATTAAAATTGACTGTAGTATCGCAAGGCGCATCGACACACCCACGGCAAAACCTACAAGATGCACGGTCCTTTCGAGTTTTCCACTGCTACATACAGTATTTTTTCGTTATTAAAGCCACAGTAGAATCGCAGCAAAGAGTGCTTGGTATTTTTAGGGTTTTTATCTCATAAGTCACGTGAACCCGAGCTGTGACAGGGCCTATAGAGTGTTTTCACTCACGTGGCCAGCATCCATGTAAATTTATTAGAACAAAAGAAAGCGTTTGCATAAGAAAAGAGTTCAACTCCCACAGGACTGGTTTGGGACACCAACATGACCGCCGTTTCATTGTTTTGGGACACCAATATGGCCGCCGTGACGTCATGTGAAAACACTCTATTCGGACTTTCCGAGTTCCAAAACCTCTCACTTTCAAAACGAGGCTAACTGCAAAACCTTTGTTGTGAAAGAGTTTTGTTTGCATGAGAATAAAAAAATCATTTTTATATCAATAGCTTCGCTCTTAGCCTCGCCTTGAAACAGAGGCTTGGAGCAACTCGAAAATGGCCTAATGTAACCACTAACAGCCCACGTCTTAAGGCGCTTTCCATTTGTCAGAACTGACTGGCCAGCCCAATCCCATCGTAATGAGAATTTAATTTGTAAGCAAAACTAACAATCCAGATCAGTCAATTCCTAAATATTATGCACAAAGTAGATGGTTGTTCAGCGAAACCTCTTGGAAAAAGCCTATTTTGCCAAAATGTTTGGTCAGGCCATGATCCAGCCGGCCAGTTCTGACTTTTGGAAAGCACCCTTAGCATGATTTTCTTTTTTCTGCTTTCCTTTCAAGCGTCTGCTGGGCTAGCCGTCTCCAATACATGACTTTACACCATCACCACCGTGGATTCTTAGGCTTTCATGTTGTTTTGCTGTAAACGAAAAGGGAAAGCAAATTTGCAGTTTCATGTGACAAAAATGTTTCTTAAAAGAAGGCAACAAAGTCGTGAAAAGTGCTGATTAGCTATCACAGGTGAAAGTATGACAAATTTAGGCAAAGAAATTCTGAGATGTCAGGGTACGCCAAATATACCCTGAATCCCTTGGCGCATGCGGTGTATGGAGTTGATCACGTGACAATAGGCCTTTTTACCGATGCGGCGGCCATATTCAATTTAGTAGTTTTAAGGAGTATTGTGGGATGCCCAGGGAGCAATCGCTCAGTATTTACGCGTGCTTTTCGGGCAAAAAGAGAACTTCAATGTTTATTTCTCGGGAAAGAGGCGATCATTTTTACATCCAAACACGGCACAACGATCTTTTTTCCCATTACAATCTTTTTCTAGGAAAACGTAAGAAAAATTGGCCCGAAACGCTCGCATAAATACTGAGCGAGTATATCGGATCATGCTCATGCCACCTGGGCATCTCATAATACTCCTTAAATTTAACTAATGCAATATGGCCGCCGTATCTGTAAAAAGGTCTATTCGCCACTTCCACATTTTCCATAATGCACCTTATTTGCCCCCCAAATTTTGCATAACCTTTGTTTTTCATTTCTCCTGGGTATTACAGCCGTCCTAAGAGAAATTGAAAACAATGCTTATGCAAAATTTTTGGGGGCAAATAAGGTGCGTTATGGGAAATGTGGAAGTGGCGTCTTGGACGACCAAGCTAGTTATCAAGATCTCTCCTTCAGAGGAGAGACATTGAAAAGAAGAGTTAGACGACGAAAGTTAGTGATTAAATAGGCCATTTTTGAGTTCCAGAAACTCTCACTATGAAAACGAGACTAAGAGCGAAACCTTTCTTATGAAAATGAGGTTTATTTCGCATGAGCTTCGCACTTAGCCTCGCTTTGAAACAGAGGCTTGGGACTCGGAAATGGCCTATTGGAGCTTAACCTACGTTTTTATACCGACACAGCACCTAGTGGTTCACCTACCAACGTGGATGCTGTTGCAAAGTCAATATCAAGTATCAACGTGACGTGGGGGCCTGTACCTGAGTTCGAACGCAAAGGAAACGTCACCATGTACGAAATTCATGTGATGAACAGCAGCCATTACGGGGTAGCAAATATCTCTGTTTGCGCGAACAACTTTTCAGTGGTGGTAGACGAGTTAGAAATGTTTGTCACCTACTATGTCAGAGTACGGGCCTTGACGGCCGTGGGATTTGGGCCATGGAGTCGTAATGTTACCGTAGCAACAAATCAAAAAGGTACGACACCTTTAAACGCGAAAAAGGGATTTCTATGCCCGTATTATACGCATGTCATATATGCTCAGTCAGTTATGAGAGTTTAAAACCATCAAATTCCTCTTATAAAAGACACCAATGGGACAGAGGTGTCATATTTATCATAACAATTTTGGTTTCCCCTAGAAAGGTGTCTGTATTGCTGGTTTTCAGTTGTCTCTGAAATTGTTAGTGGGGACGCGCCGGTCAGCTATTAGCCAATTACTTGCTCTGTAACAGTCCCAGAAGTCTCTGCGAAAGTTAACTCGGCCCAGTTTGCGAATGTGAAGTAGTAAACGGTCTTTGTATTTTGGCGCCGGTCAGCTATCAGCCAATTATTTTCTCTGTTTCTAGCAACAGTCCCAGAAGTCTTTGCGAAAGTTAACTCGGTCCAACTTCCTTCTCGTAACAGTCCCAGAAGTCTTTGCGAAAGTTGACCCGTCCCAGTTTCCTTCTCAGTAAAGGGTCTTCTTATTTTGGCAGGAATAACAAAAACAACACTTACCTGGTCAATTTTTTATTTTCCTTGTTTCTGGTGTTACCGTATCTTGTTTTATTCCTAGCGCCTGACGTTGTCCTCAATGCAACTGCATCCGTAAAAAACAAAACGTCTATTCTTGTGTCGTGGCAAATAGAACGGATTCATGCTCGGTTACAAAAGCCGGACACATATCAAGTGTCTTATTGTCCGCATTGCCGACGGAAGACTTGCCTGGAAACGAACATATCCACATCAGCTAGCGGTCTGACAACCCTGGTCAGCAGTCTTCTGGTTGGTGTTACATACAATGTAACAGTGCGTGCCATTAACATAACAGCAAGTGATGGGACGCCTGTGGAAACGCCTTATGGGAACTATAGCGAACCAGTTTACAACACGACACACGAAGGAGGTGGGTGGTCTCTTATTTGCCTTACGCAAGCGAGAATAGAGGGACAAAGAGAGGAAACGTCCAGTCTAGATCAGTCTAGCCCTTGGGATATGTTGAACTTCACCAAAGTTATTTCTAGACAATTTTAACCCTTGAGATTAATGGGGAGTTAGTTTCCGGAGAGGTCCGCAAATTTACATTCAGTGCCATCGAAAGAGGATTCAACAGTCGTCATTACAATACGGACCTTAAGATCCGAGGACGGCGACGGCAGAGAAAACGTCGCTGAAAAAGTGAATTCGCGTTCTTTCAATCTTCATTACGATTAGTACAAGTCACTAACTTTGTCAAATGTAGGCGAACCCTCCTAAAGTTGAATTCCTGAGAACCACATCCAAGTTCAGAAAGAGAGGGGAAATTTGGTCGTCGCTTGTGTACTTCCTCTGTACATCGTGAAATTAGGCATTTTCACGTCGTAGTCGTGCAGTGACGGCAAAGAAATGTACAGAAAAGCGTGATGCACGTGCAAAATTGTTGTTTTGCTAATTAAACCTATTGCTTTTGTGGCGTTCCCGTTGCCGTCGCCGTCGTCGCATCTTAACGTCCCTAATATAAGGGAGCTTACGCAACGACGACTGCGACGGCTACGAAAACGTCGCTTAAAAAGTGAATTTGCGCTGCCTCAAACTTTATCGCGCGTATTCCATCTCGCTTAATTCATCAAATGTTGGCAATTTTTTTGGAGTTGAATTCTAAAAGACTGCATCAAAGGTTAGGAAAAGAAAAAGAAAGTTGTTGTCTTTTGTTCCCGTCCTCGACAAGAAGGGAAAATAGGCAGTCTCACTTTGTAGTACTACAACGATGACAAAAAAAATGTACAAAAAAGCGTGTTGCACGTGCAAAGTTGTTGTTTTGTTTGTCTAAACTTATTGCTTTCTTGCCGTTCTCGTTGTCATCGTCGTTGCGTAAACTCCTTATTCTGCAATCTTTGCTTTGAGACAGTCACGCGTGGACGTCTCAGGAATCAGACTTCCGTTTAACTACAACTTCTAAAAATAACTTTGGTGAAATTCACATATCCCAGCCAACGCTGTATGATTCTCTCTCTCTGTTAGTTCTCTCTCGCCTTATGTTAGGAGTTTAAATGAGTGAAAAATTATAGTAGAAAGTAAAGCAAAACTGTTACATAAGTTTGAGCCTCTAGGAGCGACCATCGCTAGTGAGCGACCACCTCCCATTGGCTTGCTTGCTATCAGGAACGTTTGCCTTGTGTAATTAGGGACCTTACGAAACTACGACTGGGCTTGGTTAGCAAAATAACAAATCTGTACGTGCATCACGCTTTTTTGTACATTTCTTTGCCGTCCCTGCACGATTACGACGTGAAATGACCAAATTTTAATTCTTTTTGAGGACTGGACCGGAAAGGCGATGAATTCTATTCTCTGACTAAACTCGGGCGCAGCCCCCTCTCTTCAGCTCCAACATAAATTCCCTTCTTTTTAGTAACTGGGTGACTTGGGATATTATCGCGAAATGGTTTGAAAGGATGTGGAGTCTGTTTCAGCGACCTTTTAAGGGACGTCGCCGTTGTCGGATCGTAAGGTCCCTTTTAGGACGACTACGAGTACGAGATTTGACTAAGGGTTTTTGTCGCGTATTCTCCAAAATATTTAACCCGGAAAGCTTCATTTTACCATTTTTCACCAGAAAAGTTAACAGCGTTACCATTAGTGAAGGAGGTTACACTCTCTCCCGATCATAAAATGATAAAACTTCTAACATTTGATAACTTATTTTCCCCACTTCGACATTCTCACTAAACTCGTAGTAGAGTGACTACGGCTACCATGTTTTCCCGCCAAAATGACGCTGCCTCACACGTGTGCCCTACTTTAATAGTACTGAGAAAATCTCATACTCGTTGTCGTATTCGTCGTAGAATCTAAAGGTTTCTATTATCATGGGTTATCCTGATTCTGGTTTAAATCTATTTTAGCCACAATCAATTTAACTGACTAATGTTTGGCTGTCCCATAGCTCCCGAGGTACCGCCTAACGTCACTGCAGGCCCCCTTACCACCACTAGCATCAATGTTAATTGGAGTGAAATCCCATGTAACAAAAGAGGTGGAAAGATAATTAACTACTTCATTGAGATTCATAACAGTAGCGGAATGATACTTGAAAAACAAGTCAGCGGCAACGACTCTTCTTATGAGGTGACAGGTCTAGAAGTACATTCAAACTACAGCGCGAGGGTTTTGGCTGCTACTGGTGCGGGCAATAGCTCTTTCAGTGATTTCTATAACACGACCACACATCAGCCAGGTATGACGAAATTCAAATAATTAATTAAACTAATATTTAACAATTATTCCTCGAGCCCGACTGGGCTCTGAGTCAATTGCCCATGAGGCCGAAGGCCGAATGGGCTATAGACTCAGAGGCCATGAGGGCGAGAGGAATAATTGTTTTAGTCGGCTCCCGTTTTAGTAAAATCCAACTAGTTGGTCAAAAATATCGAGACAAAACAACTTAAAGCAAGACTTTAATCCTTTTTTGCCGCCAAAAATCCGCTACTGGTGGGCTATAACATATAGCCTAGTAAAAGCTCAACCAATCAGAACGCAGCATTGATAATAGACCACTAGTTGGATTTTACTAAATAGATTTAGCCAAGGCTAAACGCGAAGCTATTGTTAATAAACTTATAATTTACTTCAAACAAATAACTTTTAACCATTGCAAAGCAATCTGCTTGTAGTTGAGCCCGCGATCAGTTGAAAGCCAGTAACTTGTCAGCGGATAACTTAAAAACACGTAACCTCAATGGGTTGACACTTGAGCCCGCGATATTGTGATACTGGCCAGCATGTTTTGACAGCTGTCAATTGACCATAACATAGATGTGCAATATCACGTTGCAGGCTCCCACACTAGCCAGAAAGTGTGACATTTCACCTTGGTTACTCTGTGGTGCGGACGGAGGGACGGACGGTCACCTGGCTGCCAAAATTTCGCGGATTCTCTTCTTTCACATAGACCATAATGCTCCTTGTTTACACCCCAAAATTTTGCACAACCATTGTTTCCAATTTCTCCTGGGTATTACGGTCGTCCCAAGAGAAATCCAAGACAATGGTTATGCAAAATTTTGGGGGTTAACAAGGTGCGTTATGGTCTATGTAAAAATGGTGAATGGATAGATAATCAAATTTTCTTAGCTATGGGGTTCCGCTCGCGCGTTGTTAGGGAGTGCGGGCGAGATCGATATAAACGCCCTTGCCCAAGCGCTGTACTTTGCGTAAGTTTCACGTGATAGACGGTCAAAATGGGCGTGACCAGATTGCGTTTTATGCATGATAATATGATATAAACAACTTTATTTAAGTGTCGATGTCTTTAGCTTATAAAAGCTAATTGGGGACACTAAAATAATAGGAAAAAAATATGAAATGAATTTATACATGGTTTCAGAAAAGAACTGACCTAAAAAGCAGTATCGTCTTGAGATAGCCCCTTTAAATTGTTACTGTCACAATTCGAAAACCACTGTGTGTCCCGCTGAAATATTTCGTACGATTGTGTCCATGGCGATCGCAGGGGACTGGGGAGTTAACAGAGAAAAAGCGAAAGGCTTTGAGTGTGCCAGAACTGAAAACGTTTGTTTGACTGAATTTTAGCACCTGAAAACGTCCCAACAGATGTTAAGGTTAAAGCAACTGGAAAAACAAATATTACCGTAACTTGGAGGGAGATATCCGACAAATTCCTCCAGGGTTATACTGTCAAGTACAAGAAGAAGGGTGCTGCCAGTTCCAACGTCATTGAAGTCAACAGAGTGAACGAAAAAGTTCTTAAAGATCTAAACAAATTTACAGAATACACGATACAAGTCGCGGCACGAAGTACTCAGCCAGGGAATTACAGCGAAGCAATATCTGCAAAAACGCTCGAAGATGGTAAGCTTCCTTTACTAAATATCTTCATATGGGAAACATTTTATTAAACGTCTCTAATTAAGCTGTTCCTGTCGTCATTTACTGACAGGTACGTGGTTGCTAACCCCTTGCAGAACATGGTAACGTACTTGGATACCGCTTAGCACAGGCTCGCTGGATGGCAAAGGGTCCACGCGTTCATTCAGATCACAAAGCTTTGAGTGCGGTCGGGCGAAGCCTTCTTAGGCTACTTCAAACGTCTTTCAATTATTCCAGTCCAGTCATTTCGGGAATAATAGAACAGAACAATACTAAAGCGAGGAATGCTTGGCTCGATCGCTCTCAAAGCTTTGTAATCGGAATGAAAGCCTGCCTGGCTTGCCATTCATCTATCTGTTTCTAACTGGTATCTTAGCACGTGATCTGTTGCTAAGTGGTATCCAAATGGTGACTAAGTCCTACAAAGGGCCTTTGAATTGACAAAAACATTGTAAGTCTCCTGAGATGTTAATGGTAGACGAAAATGGTTTATCATATGCCCTTTTGGTCTGATAACTAGTTGACTTTAAGGAAACCTTACCTCCTCAGAATTTTTTTTTTTAAAAATTAATAAAATATGATCGTGACATGTAATTTTTTTCTAAATATGGCCTCGCTTTCAAAGAGAGCACTGTTTCTAACACTCTTATGAAAATAACTTTTCATTCACACGCAAGTTAAACACATTTTCTGGTGAACTGTTCTGCACCAGGCCACGTTTTTATAAAGAGACTTGGTTAACTTGAAAATGGACTTTTTTCCATTGGTTAGTTCCCGGTGCTGCACCTCCTGGTGTGTATGTAGATGTTTTGGATTCCACTTCCGCGAGGATCAATTGGGGCGAGGTTCCTAAAGAAAAACGTCATGGTTACATAATTGGCTATCGTGTCCTGTACAAAAGAAAGCAAAATGGGAAAAGACGAAGAAGAAGTGTAGATAACTTTCAGACAGTAACGACAGTTGATGGAGCCTATTCAATACTTCTCAAGTCTCTGGATAAAGCCGCTGAATACGAAGTCGAAGTGCGTGCATTTACTAGCGTAGGAGATGGACCATCGCTTCCAAATATATCTTTCACCACCAGCGAAGACAGTAAGTATTTCACCCAAGTTGGTATTGCGGCGCAATGGGGAATAAACACTAGCTGCCGCCCCTGGAAAAAGAGGTTGATCGATCGTATTTCATAATTTATACAAACGAATCGTTGGTATATTTCAAGATATATTGCTCGCATCTTTCAAAAATGGTAAGCACCAGTTGGTTATGAAGAATTAGCTGGAGGATTGGAGGCAATCAGTAATGGCGAAATATTTTGAATGAATGATAGTATTGCTGGCAATGGTTAGGTGATATTGGGAGTAATAGAAGTACGAAATGAAGAACGATTTAGTACCCTTGCCAGGTCTAGGCACGTCTCCGCTTGATTATTTTAAACCCAATAGATCGAGGCTGCGCAAGATACCTCGTTTTGGTAAGAGAATGGCCCCCTCCTCCGATACCAAAACGTCTACATTAACGTAGGTATCAAACCTTTCGTAGGGCTCAATGGTTCTTTTTCTCACCTCGAGAAAGAAAGAGAACCCTGGAGACGAGGTTGCCGTAGGAATCTGGTGAGAGGAAATTTAAAATGACTAATACGAGGGGGAGGGACTCCTTTGTAAACAAACTTTTACAGACCCTACACAAATTTTCCAGGACTTGACAATCAGATTAATTGTTTTTCAGTTCATGCAAATTGCTGTCTAGCTGATCATTTATAGTTTCAGAGCAACACGAGAACAGAACAAAGCTCAAGTGTGATAGCTAAAACACCCTACAACATGGAACCAATAAACAACACTGAAGAAAACTACTTCGCTTTGTGAAAAGCTTTAGAGCGATTTTCGTATGAACTTGAAAAATGGTTTCGGCAAGTGTTCGTTATCTGTTTTGTCAGCCAATGAATGAAAAGAAAAAACAAGGCCTCTTCGTTTTCCCGCCAAAGAAAACCCTAATATGGAGTGGGCATTGTTTGATTGGCCAATCGTGTTGCAGTATGACGTCAAAGCGAAGTATCGATTGATTTCTAGAAATTTCTTTGGGCATGAAGTTTTTTCAGCCGAGCGTTCGCTTAACCATCCAAAAGCCAAGTGCGTTTGTATTCGCTCTATTTTCGTTCGTTTGTTGTTTCTGTTTTGTTCACGGGTTTTCATCTCAAAGTCATACGAAACTCGCTCTTCCATTTCAGTTTGCAAACTTCCAGGAATTTCCAGGACCTGTACGAACTCAGTGGCCCATTGAATAGAATTATTTAAAATTCGTTATTCACCATTTTCACATAGAGCACAATGTACCTTGTTTATCCCCCCCCCCAAACTTTTGCATAACCTTTGATTATAATTTCTTCTTTGTATGACAGTCGTCCCAAGAGAAATCGAAGACAATGGTTATGCAAAACCTTTCATTTTGTTTGTGTTTTTTTTTTGGGGGGCGCAGGGTAAGGTATACAAGGTGCATTATTGTCTATATGAAACTGGTGACTTGGATTAATCATATTGATCACATTAATCATATATTTTATAGCAAACCAAAAGGTTTTTGCAGACATTATACCATGTTGAGAAAAATTCATGAAAATGCCATTCAACTGTATAAGAACATGATTTGTACCAAAGCAAGGTCACGGCACTTGATAAACACCCGTAAGAGAGCCTATTCTAAACGAACACACAGAACAATAATCCATTTACTCTTTTCTAGTTCCCAGTGAACCTCCAGTGGAACTAAAAGCGGTGGACCGGTTATCACCGTATACCATCAGAGTGTCCTGGGAACCAGTCCCCGAGGGGTACAGGCACGGAACATTGCAAAACTACAAAGTGACGTACCAGAAAGTAGAAGTTGGAAACGTAGGAATAGAGGAAGAACCGGTGAAAGAAAAAATAGTCAGCGCTAACAAAACGGATGTGGTGCTCGAAAGACTGGAACCATATGTGCGGTATAGAATTACAGTTGCAGCTAGCACGTCCAAAGGGTATGGACCACCGAGCGCATCTGTTTCTGGAGGTAATATATAGATTTAGCAAAGGCCAAAAGCGAAGCTTTCTCAAGTAATTCAACTTCTACAGTAAGAGAAAGCAAACTGAATTCCCCCTTAAAAATGGACCTGAGCCCGCGATCAATGGAAAACCAGATAAACCGGATACCCTTTTTGACAGCTGTCAATTGACCATAACATGGATGTCCAATACCAAGTTAAACAAAAAAGGTATATGCCTCAGGGACATCTAGCTAGTAAGTGTGCCATTTCACATCCGCTAACATGAAGGGGTGGAAGTACGTAAGGACGATTTTGTCAGAACCAAAATTTCTTGGATGCATAGATAACCCAAATTTCTTGCGCGAGAGCTCCGCTATAAAGCTTATGATCAGTGCTATATCTACAATTTAAACAAAAATCGCGTATTATGTTGACATGAAAAATAGGATCAATTTAGGTCTCTGGGAAACTGCCTACCTACCCCTTCCCTGAGCCAACATTTTGCCCTAAGTGAGAAGTAAGTGATAATGTTGGCTTAGGGGAGGGATAGGTGGGTAGTTTCCCAGAAACCTAAACTGACCTCGTATGCACACCTCTTCACACTGCCACGAAGAGTGGCGCAAAAACCTCTCCGATGATCCACTTTGAGTACCTGCGCGGCGAAGCCGTAAAAGTTGAGCCTCTCTCAACATTTGCCTTCACGCGCGACTTTTCATAGTTTGCCTCTATTTATTTACGCACGCGAAATTTTAAGCTTCGCGTACGTAAAAAGCTGCACGACAGTGAATATCCACCTCAGGGGGGACATCGACAGTTGACAAATCGAGGAGCTGCATTGTATATTGATATTTGTGTGTTTTTGTCAGAGACGTGCCAGTGCAAACAAAAATTTTCCACAAGTTGGCGGCGATACGAGCCCTACGCAAACGTTACCGAAGATAGCGAGCCTGGGCAAATAATACCCGTTGTTCTGCAGTCTATGGTGGACGAATGCTGTGGAAACTGCTCGGCCTACAAAAGAGTACGTTTGGATTTTAAAAAGAACGGCAAGAACAGACCAGCACTGCGAAATTCAAGCCGTGAACTTCTTGAAAGCTTGGATCAAGAGACCGATTTTACCTTTCCTGTGTATGGATTTAACGAGCAAGACCGCTATAAAGGCGGTTATGGCTACATACCGGTCATAGAATCTGCTGGGGTAGCATTTATCGTTTACCCTCAAAAATCCTCAAACCAGAATACAATGTACGACTTGATGATCAGCTGCCTTCCCGTGTTAGTGCTGCCCATAATCACGGCGTGTGTCTCGGGCATGATTATTTGGGCTCTGGTAAGTATACCAGCTCGTTAATCCCTAAGAGTGATTAGCATCAAATTTCTCCTTGTAATATCAATGCTTTGTAAAACACAGTGGTCATGGGAATTACGGACATGATCACACAAGATGAATTTGTTTGATTTGTTATCAACTTCTTCCCACTTCTTCTGTAGGAAATGAATATGGGCAACAAATGAGAATTCAAATTTTGATCTTAAGGTTTAAATGGTTAAAGGGGCTAAGTCACGCTATTTGAAAAGCTAATTTGTGCCTTCGCAGTAACTGAACTAGAATTAGAAAAAAAATCAGAGCAATTTTCGTATGACCTTGAAAAATGGCTTCGGTAAGTGTTCGTTGTTTGTTTTATCAGCCAATGGATGACACGATCAAAACATGGCCTCTTCGTTTTCCCGCCAAAGAAAACTCTAACAAGGGTGAAGGCATTGTTTGATTGGCCAATCATGTTGCAGTATGACGTCAAAGCGAAGTATCGATTGATTTCTCAAAAGTTCTCTCGGGCAAGTTTTTTCACCCGAGCGTTCGCTTAACCAACCAAAATCCACGGGTGTTTTTATTAGTTCGATAAGTCCATCAAATCGCTCTATTTCCGTTCGTTTGTTGTTTCTGTTTTGCTCGCGCGTTTTCATTTCAAGGTCACACGAAAATCGCTCTAACGGTTATTATTTTTTTTTAATTTAAGGCCCTATATTTAGGCAATGACAAGATTTCCTGTCGTCTGTATCAACGGATGGCAAGGATGGAGATGGATTGGAACTTGAAAAGGTTGGGCCAACGTTTTCAAGTTTTAATGCCATGCCTGCAAAAATCACCAAACAAATATTATGATAGACCTTGCCATGGTTTTCGACGCCATCTTGACGAGTAGGCAAACATGTTAGAAATCACAGTGTTTATATGAGAATCTAATGACCAATAACTTCCGTTAAAGGGCTTTTCTGAAAAAAATATCAATTGTAAACTAAACCTACAAAGCGAAGGATTGTAATTAAACATTTTGGGGGCGTACCTGTGCTTAAATTTCTCCAGAGGCTTGCTTTAGATTTTCCATATATTTGTCTGTAATTCTTCGCAGGAATTTCTTACAGACAAATGTATAGAAAATTGTAAAAAGTGGTTCTAAGTCTTCTAGCGAATGTAACGCCGTCAATTTTTTTCAGTCGAATACTTAGGAGTGAAGCTTTAGTTTGCAATTCATGTTTTTTTCGGAACAGACGTTCTACGGAAATTATTCGACAATAGATTTTCATACAAACACTGTAATTTCTCACGCGTTTGCCTACTCGTCAAGATGGCGTCGAAAACCGTGACAAGGTCTATTAGCGCTTCCTGCTGAAACTTTATTGATATCTTTTTTCATAACTTTACAGGAGCGTTGCGTGTATGAGTTAAGGCACTAAGAAATGACTTGAGCACAAAATTGACCCAGAACATCTATATCCTTGTGACATAGACCCTTTAGCTAGACAAGGGTCTACGCAGACTAGCACCGACTGAACATCGTGTACGGTTTTTTTTCCTTATTAGGAGAGAGTAAGTAATTCAAAAGATTTCCCCGCACCGTTTCTTCAAGGGACCTGGGAAGGAATTTGGTGGGCTTTTGTTAGCATGACAACCTTAGGGTGAGTAAGCGATTTACAGATATTTTGTAGTCTAGTCATTCTACGAGAAAAAAAGACCGAACCTTGAAGTAATTGCAACAGAATTTATTTTTGCCGGAAGTTATTCTACTGATGCCTATAAATAACATGTCAAAAGTCTACCAAACGTTTCGAAGGATAAAATGATGAAATTACAGTTTTATGATTGAATTCTTTTTCTAAATTCAAAATGGCTGCCGCGCAATTTATTCAAAATATATGCGTAAATATTTACAGCAAACAGCTAAAAACAATAGGCGTAATTGGAAAACAAAATGCGTGCACGTGTTTAAATGTAAAGATTTGAACAACTTTTTGATCACATCGAAGAAAATTTATTTCGAGAACTGGAAAACAACAGTTTTCCTTGAATTAGTTCTCTATCAATAAGTATATATGTGTATCAGTGACTCTAAAGACTCTCGATTGTTTGGTTTGGAAAATTCTTGCTCCGTACAACTGCTCTGGACGATTCTCTGGCCTTCAAACTAACAAAGTTCTTCGCTTCACAAGACATTTATTTAGACGAGTATTGGTAGAAACGCATTGTTGGACGTCCAGAGTGGTACTTTAGTGAAAAATGTCGTGTGAAGGTAAAGTATAGATGGTTAAAGATGTGGTTTATCGTCCGGTTAACATCACACGATGGAGTATTGTGTAATTTGCAAGGAATTATCAACCAATGGCCTCGAAACAGTGGAACTTAGGCAAAAAGGAAGCGATGGCATCAACAATGCAAGTACTGACTACGTGGCGACACACTCCAAACTTTTGCAGGACAGCGTGTACATAAAAAATGCAGGCAGAAATACTGTCATGTAAAGGTTATTCGTTCCTACATAAAGAAACATACGGCTGATGAAGAAACATCCTCTAGTGCAAGTCGTACCCTGCGTTCCAGTGAACCAACATTTGATTTTGGTGAACGATGTTTATTTTGCAGCCAGCCTGCTAAACTTACGGGAAACAAAAGAGGACATGATGTTTTTCCTGTTAGAACATTAGATTTTCAAACCACATTAAACCGAATTTGTGAGGAGCGAAGAGACGGTTGGGCTGAGAAAGTGCATGGCAGAATATCTTTTTCCCAAGATCTCATTGCAGCAGGTGCAATTTATCACCAAGTTTGCAGTACCAATTTTCGGACGGGGAAGCAAGTACCGCTTTCTCATCAAACTAACGGAAGCAAACGACAAAAGAAAGGCAGGCCAACTGATACGTCTAGGCAAGAGGCATTCTTGGAGGCTGCAAAATATCTTAAGGAAAACGATGACGAGCAGATAACTGTGAACGATCTTATGAATAAGATGGCAGAATTCAACGACCAAGAACCTTACAGCGCACGGTATATGAAAGAAAAACTTAAAGAGCATTTTGGAGAAAACATCGTTATTGCTAGTATCAATTGTAAGGCTGATGTCGTAACATTTAGGAGTACAGCTTCGACCATCTTGCAAAATTTTTATGACGCTTCTAGAGATGCTGACCCTGAAGCCGATAAAATCAGAGTGATTAAGGCAGCTGCTGATCTCATAAAAACGGACATCAAAAGTAAGGACAACTCTAAAAGTTTTTATCCATTACCTGGAGAGATTTCGTCTTTGGATGAAAACTGCGCTTTTCTACCTGAAACGTTGTATTTGTTTCTGAGAACAATATTTAACGAAAAGAGTGCAGAGCGAAAGATTGCTTCCATAGGGCAAGCCATTATTCAAGCCGCTCGGCCCAGGGTCCTGATAGCTCCTCTTCAAATCGGCCTGGCAGTCCAAATGCACCACCTTTATGGATCCAAATTTTTAATTGATTCCTTGAATAGTCATGGGTTTTGCTCCTCTTACACTGAAGTTAAGAAATTTGAAATGAGTGCGGCGCAAACAAAAGGCACAGATATTCCTGGTTTAACCCCCGGTCACTTTGTACAATATGTAGCAGATAATGTAGACCACAATGTCTGTACGTTGGACGGACAGAACACTTTTCATGGTATGGGGATAACAGCTGCTGTTACTCCGGCCACGCATCCAGATTCTCCAATACCGAGGTGTTCCACCACAGCTGCAGAGATAGCAAATATTGGAAAGATTGATATTCACTATTACAAGACGGCTAATGATGTCAAAGTGCCTTTAGTTTATGAGAAACTGCCATGTCTTTCTAACGTCAATAAAACTTGGAAGTTAGACTTTCTCTGCAGTTTAGTTTGGCCAATTCGATCCCACAAGCCAAATTGGTCTGGATTAATGCAGACTATAAGCAAAGGAAGCCATCCCGGAAAATCTTCTGTTACATTCTTACCAATGATTGACATGGATCCAACAAACATGAGCTGTATATATTCAACGCTTAAATTTGTAGAAGCACAATGTAAAAGACAACATACCACGCCTATTATTACATTCGACCAACCCTTGTGGTGGAAAGCGCAGCTTATCGTAGAGAGTGAACCACCAGACAGTGAACTGCGCTCTATAATACTTCGTCTTGGAGGATTCCACGCAGAAATGAGTTTTCTTGGTTGCATAGGCAGCATTATGTCTGGTTCTGGTATTGAAGAACTTTTAGAGTGTGTGTATGCTTCAAATACGGTGGGACACATGCTCAGCGGCAAAGCTGTTCAAAGGGCATTCAGAGGACATTTACTAGTGGAAAATGCTCTAAATGCAATTCTCACCGCCGATGCCTTCAATTTAAGTCTACCTAAGGCGTGTTTTGCCAAGAATTATGAAGAGGGAGAGCTTGTGAAAGATCGAAGGCAAACAGTTCCTGTACTCGACAGCGTTGTAGTTGAGCGCGACGTTCTTAATGTTGCAGACACAGAGCCAGGGAAACTCAGCGACTCAAGGCAAACAGTTCCAGTGCCCGACATAGTTGTGGTTGAGCGCGATGTTCGATATGTTGAAGACACAGAGGCAGTGAAACGCGGGGAACCAAGGCAAACAGTTCCAGTACCCGAAAAAGTTGTAATGGAGAGTGATGTTCTTAATGTTGAAGAAACAGAGCCAGTGAAAGGCAAAGACCCAAGTCAAAACGTTCCAGCGCCCGGCAGTGTTGTAATCCAAAGGGAAGTTCCCGATCTAATTCACAAGGCAGTCGAATTGTATGAAAGGTTAATGGCTGGCGATATCGGAATAGCGTGTAGTGAGTGCCGAGGTGTCAATTGTAGCAACTCAAGCACCAACCTTTCTGATGTTTTGTTAAATGTGGAAGGTGATCCCCTAAATGAACTGGACTAGCACAAGGTTTATAGTACCTACCACGCCTTGTTGGTTGTTCCCCTGTGAAGAACAGAATTAGTACAATGTTTTTAGTAGTACCAATCTAGCTATCTTCAGTTGCAAATGTGTAAATGAGATTATTATTTCCGAAGTTGTGTAGAATGTGAAGACTTTTAAGTGCCACTATAGAGAACAGAAACAATACAATTTAGTAAAGTAGCAGTAACAATTTAGTTATCTTAATTCAGTTGCAAATGTGAAATTATTATTTTCGATGTTGTGTTAAGTGTGGAGGAAGTTCCACGGTAAAAAACTGAAATAATACAATGTTATTAGTAGTACCAATTTAAATATCTTCAGTTTTTGAGGAAATTACTATTTACGAAGTTGTGGTTAAATGTGGAGGATGTTCCACTTTAAAGAACAGAAATAGTACAAGTTATTAGTACAATGTTATAAGTGCAACTGTGATAAGATAACATTTTTGCCGCTAAGGCTTTGCCTTTTTTTTTTTTAAAAAAAAGAGTTAAATAACTAGTATAGTGTTGTGGATGTTTTGCATTTACGTTACCAAGTTGCTATTTTTACTTTAAATTCACAACGAATTCCCAATAAATTGTTTCAAGAAGCAGACAAGCCGCCATTTTTAAATTATTCATAATAGTTCTTAGCGAATGAGAGCGTTTCTCTTGGATAGATTTTTCTGAATTTTTGTTATGTTGGTTAGAGCAACTAAATAACTTATTTCATGACGTTGATTTTCAGCTGCGCTTTTTTAACATTCCAAAAAACACAAACAAGCAGCCCTTTTGAAATTATGCAAATTAGTTGAAAATGTTCCGGTAAATTAACGATTTTCCGCCGGGTAGATTTTGGTAGACTTTTAATTTGTTGGTTAGGGTCACTTAAATAGTTGTTTGGCGCAAACGGACTTTCTGTTGCAATTAGTTCAAGGTCTAACTTTAGAATGACTAGACTAATAGTCTTTACAATGAAAAAGCGCAATGACCGGCACCTATGGACCGGGAGAAAAACATTCACGCCGTGTGCTGCGAGGACAATTATTTTCCAAAGGGAAAATTTAAATTATTTAATAGTTTGTTTCACTCAGTGTACCTTGTTTTTTCAATACGTTTGATTTCTATTGCCGATTTGTTTGCCGTGTGTTATCTGTGGAACGTAAGTAACGAGGATAAATGCTGTGTCGTGACACTTCGCGCGGCAGACATTATAGTCGGGTCGCTTGACTTGTTTACATTCGCACGTATTGCGTGTCTATTTCAACTTTGAATCAAAACAAGCGACCTCGATTACCCTATTTGGGCGACGCGCAAATAACAAGTGATACCAATTTGAGACGAGTCAACCACCGCTTTCCACCCATAAGAGTACCTTCTTTGACAGTTGAATGGACTCCCCTAAAAGTAAGCTTTTATTGATACAAAAACAATAACAAGAGTTCTTTGGAGACGTGCAAACACAAACTGACACACCACTAAGTTTCAGTGTCTTGTCGGCTAACACTACACCAAATCGACCTATGGAAGACACAGGTGCGTAGTTAAACGCACGCTGAACCGCAAACTGCGCGCATAACATCACATTTCGCGCAAAAATCACTACCATCCTGGAATATTCAATTTGTGCAGGATCTCACATACCGTCCCCAATGACTCTTTCAACTAAACAGGTATGGAGACCGCGCCCCTTTGAGTGGCAAAGGACGTTTGTTTGCCATTGTGTGGATATTATTTGGACTCGTCATAATCGCCCTTACCATGGCAATGTTGACGACAGCGTTGACGGCGGATGCTGTCAAGGAAGAATACAAACTGTACGGAACCAAGGTGAGCATCAGGAAAGTAGTATAAAGCTTTCTTTTGCAGAGAAGGAGTGATCACTTGATGTTTACCAAATCAGGTATCTCAAAGTCTGTCTTCCCATATCTGGAGTCTGTAATATATATCTATTCGCTTTAGATTGCCGCTGAATATAACTCCCCTGAATACAATCTTGGAACCAGACGGAACGCAAAATTTGACAAAGGTATGGCCCGTAGTTACATTAATTAACTACCATCACGCCATGTTACGCCCTAACATTTACCATTTGCCTTTACTTTGCCTTAAATAAACGTATTGGTGAACCTAAAGATCATCATTAGCATCATCATTATCATCACATCATCACAATCATCATCATCATCGCCATTAACGTCATCATCATCTTCATCAACGTCATCACCAACATTATTGTCGTCATCATCATCCTCGTCATCATCATTGTCGTCGTCATCATCATCCTCACCATCATCGCCGCCAACATTACCATCGGAATTCACCATAACCGCCAAGAATATCAGCAACGCTATCACTAAGATAATAACTACCATTATCTCTATAATCGTCCTTGTTTTTTCCATCGTCATCAGCTCACGTGTTTTGTTTTCTATTCCAAATTTCAAGACAAACACTACAACAACATAGACGAGGTCGCACAGGCTCTCATCAACAAAGAAGTCGACGGTATCTTGGTGGACACTTATTCCGCAGGCCTGAGAGGAGATCTGTTTAACCGACCCGAGTTACTCGTCAGCAAGATTATTGATTACAAATCTGCTTACGGTGTTGTGTTCAGTAGCAGCACCAATCGACTCAGGAAATGTTTCCAAAGATACATGGTTTCACACAAAGCAGAGATTTTTGAGATGGTCAAGAAGAAAGTCAAGCCGATAGAGGTAATTCTTTACTAGAATGGGAAGGAAAGAGGGTTTACTAACTTAGAACAGACGCCGCTGAATCGAACTGGGTAGTTACCGACACTTTACTCACGGACTCAAGCAAAACTGACAACGATAGGATGACTGGACAACTGACAACTTGACGGAGAGTTAAAGGACCGTTATAACTGAGTCAGAAGACGTATCGAAAAGCACCAATCACACCTAGAGTCTTCATAGCCAATCACATCACAGCTTAACTAACAGACGACCAATAACATCACGACTTGACCAATCAATCAAATAACCAGAGTTTAATACCAAAAACTGAAGTGATACATCTCACTTTGACTCGAAACGTCAGTCAAAAGAGAGCTTTAGATTCGAACACGAGAACAACTACGAGTACGAGATTTGATTTAAAGTTTTTTCGCATATTGTCAAAAAATAGATACGCCAGAATTCTTCATTGTACTTTTTTTAACCAGAAAAGTTAGCACTCTTATCGTTATTGAAGGAGGTTCAGCCCTCTCCAGATTGCAAAATGCTAAAACTTCTGACATTTGATAACTTGTTCCCGCCACTACGACACTCTCGCTAAGACTCGTAGTAGAATGACGAAGGCTACCACGTTTTCCCGCCAAAATGACCCTGCCTCACTCGCGAGCACTACTTACTATTGAGAAAATCTCGTACTCGCAGTCGTTCTTGTCTTAGAATCTAAAGGTCTGTACTGTCAACAAGAGTCCTATTCAGGACCAAACTCACCAGGACGATCATATTCCAACAACTTAGGAAGTTACTCCTGGGTTCAAACCATTTTCTGGATTACTTTAAGTTTGTTGCTGTGGTTAAGCTCAGGGTTCGCAGAAGATGTGCGGCTCACGCGCGTTCTCAGCAACCTGTTGGGGGTGGGGTACGTTTGTTACCCATTTCGGGCTGTGGGACGTTCGCCTCGGAAGTGTTCCGTTATCTGTAGAATTTACCATGTAGAATTTGCTATGTCTACACTAGACGGGATATTTTTGCGTGTCGACACGAAAAGCTAGCAGCTCTTTAGCAAAGCTGTTTCAAACACTAGTAAGAGTGTTTCATTCGATTTCTAAATACTTTTAAGTTAGTCTGAAATAATCCAGTTTTGTGTTTGAATAATAAATAAAATATTTACCTAATGAATACAATATCCACATTTTCTAAAAATACTTTCCGCGTTCTCAACTCATTCGGTTTTTAAATTAATTTTTTTTTTCTATACAGACTAGTAACTCCACTACATCAAGTGAAGAACAAGCTGGAGGCATACTTGACAACAACTCTCCGCAGTTTCGCAAAGGCTTATACTACGCGATCGTGTGTTTTGGTATTGCTATTCTCCTGTCATTGACTTACGAGGTCATACGTCGCGTAAGAAAAAGACACAAGGTGCATCAACAAGGTGAGTGTCATGCCTTTTTCCGCCGTTTATAATTGTGACAATATATGCTCTTTGTCTTGGTGGCACGTGACATCAGATTATACGGTTCGGCTCGCGTCGACGTTTCGCGTAGTTTCTGTTTTTCTAGTTTGTAGTTTGATGCAGTAGCACTAACAATAGGGCCATTTATACGAGGAAAAATGAGACGTGCCTTACATAAGACGCGTCTTAAATAAGACGCGAACTGTACCATTTATACGAGCATGTCTTATCTAAGACGAGAACAGCTCATATAAATGGCTCGCGTCTTATTTCTGTTCTTGACTCGTTTTCATGTGAATGTTGCCCGTAGCAACGGCAATCCAAAGTGGCGCCCCAAAAATTAACGCATGCGTCCTATGCGTTCGCGTCTTATGTAAGACGCGAAGGTCATTTATACGAAGTTTTTCTCGTCTTAGCTAAGACGCGTCTTGTCTAAGAACAGGTGTTAAGGGCTGTTCTAAAATAAGACGCGTCTTAGCTAAGCCGCGTCTTATTTCAGAGGAAATGTGCCGTTTATACGGAAAGTTCGCTTCTTATTTAAGACGCGTCCTATGTAAGGCGCGTCTTATTTTTCGTCTTATAAATGGCCCTATTGTGTCTTCTCAAGTAACAACGACTTATTTGCTTGTGAGGAGCAGGAAAGGAGCCAAAGAGTATTAAATTACAAGAACTGGAAATTTGTGCTGAACGCCGTTAACCTCATCTGTACCTTTCCATTGCTGTGCACTACAATGAGGAAAAATTAATTCGATATTAGACGTGGTTTACACGTGGGGAGCGAATGCAAACGCACGTGCAAATGCAGATGCAAACGACGTTCACACGTCCGATGCAAACACAAGCAAGCTATTATTCGCAAGCGCAGTCCAATTCTTTTGGACCTGAGCCGCGGTGGCATGGAGCCTGTGTTTTTGTTAGATTGTCTCTGTGTTTGCGTTGTCCTGGTTCACACGAGTGAAATGCAAACCCAAGCGCAAATGAAAGGACACATTTGCGTTACGGTAGTTCACACGTCTATTTCGTGGAGTTTGCGTTTGCGTTACGGAGGTTCACATGTCTATTTCCTAGCGTTTGCAATTGCGGAGCAAGTGTGAACTGAACATAACTCACCCACAATAATTTTCCGTTCATTGAGTCGCTCGTCTCACAAACTGAAAAGGACATCTCTCTCATCTAAGATCAGTTTTAATTTCACTTCCTAACTCGTATTTTTCAGTACAATTCAAGACAAAGCTTCAAGCAGAAATGAGCCACTTAGTGGAAGAGTTTATGCAGCGCACGAAGAAGATAAAGCAGAGGTTGGGAGAAAAACACCGGCAACAAATCCTAAAGTTTTGGAAACTGCAAAGGAAAGGCTCCACAACCAATAACTGGTTAAGAATCTCTCAAGTGTCTCCTCATCCTAGCGAAGTAATTATCACCGACTATAACTGTTGAAATTCATTTAGAAGTGGATAAGTAAACATACTAAAGATAGTTCTGCCATTAACCTGAACACAAGGTAGATAAGTGCTGCTAACATAAGCTTTAAAAGTAAATACCTAACGGTCAGGAAGATATTTTCTAATGTAGGCACGGTCAAAACTAGAGATAGATATGTGATGCTATAATTGGTTCGAAGACAGATAAGTATAACCATACAAACATTTTTAGAAGGTAGATATGTGCTGTTAAAACCACGTGGGAGAATAAACTGGTAATGCTATCAGTAAGTGCCGAATAGTCTAGTTTCGAATTAAAAATTACCGCTGAGTACAAACATTAACAACACATTCATACAGGGTTAGCCTCGACGTAAAGTAAAATATTCAGAAATTCCGGCAAGTAAGTGTTTGAAATTTGAATATACGCAATAGACTGAGTAATAAACAGGTCTTTTTCTCGTTGGAATTTGTGAATATATTACTTCAGATGGAGGCTAAGGCTATAAAAAATGGGTCTTCTGTTCTTTAATTCAGCGGTCATGGCGAACTCGAAACTGGACTATTGCACGGCATTGAAACTTGTTAAAACAGTAGTATCTGTAAATGAAAACTAATCAAAATAGGTAGTATGCGATAAAACGTGCTCGGCTTCGGTCCGTTGCTTGTACACATGCCAAGTCAGAAAAAAAGTTTGTTGAATTATATCTGAGGTATAATCAACGTAACCGAGTTGTTTCGTCCAGAGGCAAATATTTCCCACAGCAAATTCCTCCTCGTTAGACAAATGTGTTTTAGGGGAGTTGTTTTGGGAAAGTAAACAAAAGACGAGACAGGAGACACATATGTGCAGTGAGTAAGAAGGTTAGCGTTAGTTCCCATCGACCTAAAACCCTTTGGACATCTTGTGAAGTTTACACCACGTGGTATTCCTTATCGATTCGATCTACCTTCCATTGTAGATAAAGTAGTGTGGAAGCGATAAGGAATACCACGTTGTGTAAACTTCATAAGTTGTCCAAGGGGTTTTTAGGCCAATGGGATCTAATGCTAACCGAGTAAGAAGAGAGACCAAGTGACACAACACTCCATTGTAAATTTTCCATCATTAGCTTAACATCCGTGAGTCAAAAATTAAAGCAACGATCATCATTACTGCCTTGTTATAAATCCACACATACTTTGCGCCATCGTCTAAAGTTACAGGAGACGTACGCTACCATGACAACCGTTGTTGTAGCAACCACTCGCTTTCTATGAGCTGATAGATCAGTAGGTAAATAGAGAGAGGGCCAATCAAATGCATGCACGATTAACAATACAAGACGAGTGTAATTTTAATAAAAACATATTAGTAAAATCCAACTAGTGGCCTATTATCAATGCTGCGTTCTGGTTGGTTGAGCTACCACTAGGCTATATGTTATAGCCCACTAGTAGCGAAAGCGCCGGCTTTTTGTCGGCAAAAAAGGATTAAAGTCCAGTCTTAACCAGCTGACGTTGTTTTGTCGCGATATTTTTGACCAGCTAGTTGGATTTCACTAAAACAATTATTCCTCTCGCCCTCATGGCCTCTGAGTCAATAGCCCATTCGGGCTCGAGGAATAATTGTTAAATAGCACTGACGTTTCCTGAGAAAAAAGAGAACTAACTAGAAGTCCAACTGTTAAAACATATATGAGGTCATACTGTTTATACGGAAATAACATTTTATGGTTCCTAGGTCTTAGGTTTGATTTTCAAACAAAGTATGTAGAGTTTCGTAGTAGCTGAAAGAGGTGCAATACGATCTTATAATCTTGGAACGTGACGCGACTCATCGTTTTTCCCTAGCAGTGTCTTAAACATGAATAAACAGCAAATTTATGCCAAGTGGTTGCTGGTTTTTCAATAGGGATACTGGATGCTACAACTCTTACATTGCATGCACTCACAAAAAAATTGCTACGACAGGAAATACCATAGAAATGAATGGCGGGAAAAGATAGTTCAAAGACAGTAAATGTCTTTTAATTTTATGTTTTTTGATTCTCACATTCTCTTTCACGCTTAATTCAAATCTCCCTTTTCTTTTAATTTCTTTGCGGTTGAAGGAGTGCGTCATTTAGGCGAGAAAAACGACTGAATTGTGGTTCGCTGTTTTTTCTTCGGGGGCTCAGAAACTAACAACTGCGTATTCCTAGCCGCAGATGACGTCCTTTCTCCTTGTTGCAATTCCAGGGCAAAATGATAGTCTGAATGCTCGGGCATTTCCCAGTGGGACAAAGATTCTCCACATTTTTCGCACTTTACCAAATCTGTGCAATCCCCCGTTCGGTTGTTGCCGATAACCTGCATTTTAGCATCAAAAACGTTGTCACTCCCTGTATTACAAGTAACTGCCATGTTCCCATTGTCCTCCGATCTTTTCCTCTTTTCGGTCGACGAGGCGTGAACACCGAAGAAATCTCCTCCTTCTTTCGCCCTTTTCCCTGGCTCATTCTTTACTGATAAAGACTGATGAATTTCCCGGCGAATATCGTCTGGTAAACTCTCCAAAACGGAGCTATCAATTTCACAGTCTTGGTAAGGGTTCCTTGGAGTCCGTCCACCATTTTTGTCTTTCACCTCGCATGTTTTCGCCCCAGAACCCGAGAAAAAAGCTTCTATGCCTTTCTTCTTCGAGGTATGAGTCTCACTGAGTTTTGAGCCACAAGCAGCGTTATCGCTGCTGCTGCCCTTCAAACTTTCACCTCTATTCTGAAGTGAAATAATCGGAGTAATGATTGAAGAAGTTGCCTTGGAGTTGTTTGAGAACTTTGAGTCACTGTTAACAGTTTCTTTCTCTACTGAATGCAAGTTAGAGAAATCGTCTTCGCCATGATCTTGAGTATTCTCCTTTTCGACCGAAGTTACTGTGAGTGCATCAGTTTTGCTTTTCTTGTTGAAGAAAGAGCTTATTGATGGTGTACTGCTATTTTCAGATAAGTCCTCAAATTTGCTTGCCGAAATATTCAAGGTAACGATAGCTGGATACCTGAACAATTATAAAAGAAGTCGTTTTTAACGCCAGGAATTTGACAACCAATTTTCTTCGCAAGTTTCTTTCGTAAACTTGGCAAACGTTTAATAAAGACCTAGCAATGGGAGCCAGGCTTCTATCGCACATGGCTGATGTAATAATTACATTAGCCATTATAATTACATTTCAGTTGACACTGCACTCCACAGAGCCTCCCGTAGCTCAGTGGTTTGAGCACCCGAAGAAGAACTCCGAAGGTCGTGAGTTCGATTCTCACCAGCCTCGTCTCCCCTCCAGTTCGCGCTGTCCGAGTGAGCACAGGAAGCTTGGAACCGAGCGAGATAATCTCCGGGGACGACTGTGAACGAGGCTGGATTCGCACCTGGAGCTCGGAATTTTTTTTCTGAGCTTTCTGGTGTTAGATTTCTCCTCCTTTCAAAATAATTATAATGAAACAAGGGTCGGTTACGACTGGACAGGACAGCACGTCAGCTCTTATTTATGTTTGTTTCCCAGTAGAGCCATGACGACAATAACCATTACAGTCATACAGCGTAAACCAGAGCGCTTCGTAATGAAGCACACCAACCCGCCTCAAATGACTTCATCAGAATTTTTTTCTCTTCTTTTTTTCATTGACTTTCTTCGCTCACAGAAAACCTAGTCTGCTTCACAGCAGTTCTCTGTGTCGGGGAGGAGCGTTGCGTGCCGACATAAAGAACGGCTGTGAGGCAGATAACAGAGAACCTGGTTTATATGAAAACAACGATGATTCAGATCGCTAGACGTTTTTAGAGATAAATTGTCCACTGTCTGTTTAACGTGAGACACTGGGTCAGTGTTGTGTTGAATTGCATTATGGGATTGTCCTGGGGACGTTATAACTTTATTATTTTACTATCACCAAGTTGCCTAAGAGACTGGGCAAAAAATCGTCCCCCAAAATGGCCCCATACAGGAATTCGACGTCACTCCTACCCAGTATCTACGCGCAATCCCAGAATGACCAATAGAAAACCAAGCTTTAGAGCCTGTAGTTCAAGACGTCGAGTCGAGAACATCTTGGATCTACAGAATGGGACAATCACACACGCAAAGGATCAATTAACACAGAAATGTACTTTACCATGTATCGGTTTTGCCCTCCTTGATCGAGTTGAATGGTAGCAGTAGATTGTACGCATCCTTAGCGATTTGACTGGCAGTTGAACTTCTCAAGTGACAGGAGCGGGAGAAGGATGAATCATTTTCATTTCTGAAACCAACACCCAGCTGTCTTGCCTCACGGTTATTCTGTAGAAAAAAATAAAGTAATATTACTATTCACTTTTAATTATACAACTTTCTCTTTCTTTTCAAAAACATTTTTATTCTCAAGGATATAAACCTAATAGCGAGATTTTTGCCTCCTATTTCTCTTGAGAAAACAGCCGACCTTTCACGACGCCAGTAATGGTTTCCCCGCGTAAAAACGTCTAAGAAACGAGCGCAGAGATTCCATACTGATGACGCCTACCCAGATCTGGGTAGTGACGCGTCATCAGTATGGAATTTCAGCGCTCGTTTGTCAGACGTAATTTCGCGGGGAAATTAATGGTGATGTTGCGAAATGTCGGCTGTGAGTGTTTTCTTAAGCTACTCCGATGCCGATTCCAATTTTGATCCTGTCGATGTACAAATCAGCCCCTAGAAAACATACGACCCCTTGAGTGTGGGAGAATAGAGCTTGTCACGGTTTTGGAAGCCATCTTGGCGAGAAGACAAGCGCGTGAGAAATTACAGTGTTTGTATGAGATTCTAATGTCGAAAAATTTCCGTAAAACGGCTGTTCTGAAAAAAATATATATTTGTCTGCAATTTTTCCCGGGAATTTTTTGTCGGCAGGAAGAAAACTTTTTACAGACAAATGTAAAGACCATTTAAAAACTAGCACGTGTAGCTACATGTAACGCCCTCAAATTTTTTCAATAGAATCGTTAGGAGTGAAGCTTTAGTTTACAATTCATATTTGTTCAGAACAGTCGATTTACGGAAAGTATTCGACAGTAGGTTCTCATACACACACTGTAATTTCTCACGCGGTTGCTTACTCGTCAACATGGCTTTCAAAACCATGACAAGTCTATTTGTTACTATGACGCTCGTAAACTACTGCACAACTGCAAAGAAAGTAATATTTACCAACTCAGCTTCTCGTGTGAGTCGTTCATCAAGTTCACCAGCCAGTTGTTCTAGCCAGTACTTGACCTAATAAGAGAGAATACACTTTAAGAAAAACATCATTCATAAATTTGGTTAAATGTAATTTAACTAAGTTAACCACCACGAGCTTAGCGGTCAAGCGGTTCACAAGCGTAGCGGTCAAGCAATTCACAAGCATAGCGGTCAAGCGGTTCACAAGCTTAGCAGTTGAGCGGTCCACAAGTTAAGCGGTCCACAAGCTTAGCGGTCAAGCGGTCTACAAGCTTAGCGGTCAAGCGGCCCACGAGCGTGGCGGGCATCCAGCGGTCAATCCCATAAGTGCAGGCTCACATGGTGTGTGGTAGCTTTGTACATGGCTAGGATCTGCGAGTTGTTCATCGAGCGTTTGTGCAGTGGTCTGTGGAGCGGTTCATTTAGCGTCTTTCGCCTTTTTTAGCGATCTTTGGAGCGTCAGTCTTACAGTGTGCTTTTTCTTGTATCCTTTTTTCTTTCATTTGTTTTTCAAAGCGTGCGGGTCGTCACGTTCGTTCAGGATGCGTACCACGAACAACAGCCTGTCAACGATGTCTTCCCCGGTTACCGCGTCTTCGCCTTCTTCTAGCGGTTCTACCCCAGCTCCTACAGTTAACACCTCGGCTTCTCCGCCAAGTCAACCTGTTTCCCTGCCGGACACCAACGCGCTAGCCCAGGCAATTTCAAGAGCTCTCGCGGAATCCCTCCCTCCGCTGCTATCTTCCCTTCGAGATTCCAGTGGCGGGAACTCGAACACGGCCGCGGCGTCTGTTCCTCTCTCCTCGACTTCGACTTCTACGCAGTCTCCGGCATCCTCTAGCTCCAGTACCCCTGGCTCTACCTCCCAGTCTTCAGGTACGCTTGTTGTGCCCTCATTTATTTCAACGTACAGCTCATCTGGCGGTCCTTCGGTAGTCTCCTCTCTTCCCGCCACGTCCTCCGCCAACTTGCCTGTAGTGGTTGGGGGCTCTTGTGGTGGCGCGACCGGAACCGAGTCCTCTACGCTTCCAAACCTCAATAAAGCATTTGTGGTGGGCCCTGGCTATGCTCCAGTCCCCTTTAAGCTTGTTTCTAAAATTACCGCAGGGCTTTTTGTAGACTTGGCTGACCTCCTTCCGGACAACATCAGAGCTCAAGAAATCGAACCCCAAGCGTTTTTGGAGGGAAAACTGGTGGTATCAGGGTCGAAGAAACGGGTCATTGAAATAGCAGACATCATCACCTGGATTGAAGCCTTCACAATCTTTTCTATGATTCTTTGCCACACCTTCCCCTCTCGCTGGAAAGATTTAAATCAGTACAAGTTACTCATCATCCAGACAGCAAGGCGCTTTTCTGACAAATCGTGGCTCCACTACGACATCGCCTTCCGAAAAGAAGCCGCAGCCTCAGGTTCAACCGACTGGTCTCGCATGCACCCAGACCTCTACAACTTTCACACCAGATCTCCAGTGACCACCTCAACTGCTTCAGGCTCCTCAACTTCCTCTGCCTCGTCACTATCAGAGCCTCTTGGGTCTTCAGGCAATGCCCGGTCTAGCCAGTATTGCCACTCCTGGAACGACGGGCGCTGTCGCTGGCCCTTTGGTCGCTGTCGGTTTCGTCACTCCTGTGAATCGTGCCACGGGGACCACCCCCGCATCCACTGCCCTCACCGGTCCGCGCGGAGAGAACGGTCCCGCTCCCCTTCTCAGTCAAAGGGGGGTCTCCGCCGTCGCTAGGCAACCTCTAGCCAATTCTACTGTAAATAGTTTTGTTCCTGTTCACGTTGGTTCTCATGGTAATTTTTCAGCGTTAGAGTTGCGTTCTCCTTTTGTTTTACTCTCTCCGCAGCAGGGTCTGCCAAGTTCCAGTTATTCGTTGTGTTCTCCAGCCGTTTGTCCTTTAAGACAAGTTTCTCAGCTTACTCCCATTAATGTGGATAGATTCCAGCATGAACTCTGTCATCATCCTAACCCAGACAAAGTTGCATACGTGGTCCAAGGCCTTCGCGATGGTTTTAACCTAGGCTTCAATTACAGTACTTCCCTGAAGTCGGCAACGGGAAATATGGCGTCAGCACTCCTAAACCCTCAGGTCATCGACAATTACTTGCAATCGGAAGTTCAGACAGGCAGGGTGGCGGGCCCCTTCTCCCAGCCTCTCCTCCCTGTCCTCCATGTGAGTCGTTTCGGCGTCATCCCCAAACGCCACCAACCTGGGAAATGGCGTCTTATCCTGGACCTGTCTAGCCCTGCGGGCCACAGTGTCAACGACGGAATTGCGGGCGAGGATTATTCTCTGCAGTACATGAAGGTAGATGACATTATTGCAGGCATAATGCGGCTGGGGCGGGGTTCCCTCATGGCAAAATTTGACGTGCAAAATGCATACCGTATTGTGCCAGTCCATACAGAAGATCGCCAGTTGCTGGGTATGAAATGGCGTGGTGCCTTTTATGTTGATATGGTCCTGCCTTTTGGTGTCAGGTCAGCTCCATATATCTTCACATGTATAGCAGACTTAGTGGAGTGGGTGGCCAAGCAAAACTACGATGTCACCTTCCTGATGCATTACCTTGATGACTTCCACACTCTTGGCCCTCCCGGCTCCTCTGTTTGTCAACATAATCTGGACAGGTCAATTGACTGTTTTTCTAAGCTTGGCATCCCCCTCCATCCAGACAAACTAGAAGGGCCGTCGACGTGCCTAACCATCCTGGGCATTGAACTGGACTCTCTTAATCTGCTGGCACGCCTTCCTCAGGACAAATTTGATAGGATAACTGCCTTGTTGGAAGATTGGTCACAAAAGCGTTGGTGTAAACGCAAGGATCTGGAGTCCCTAATAGGTCACCTTCAGCATGCCTGCAAAGTCGTACCCCAAGGTCGCTCATTCTTGCGCCGAATGATTAACCTACTATGTGCCTTTCGACGCGATGACCACCCGATTCGTCTCAATCAAGAGTTCTTTCTTGACCTAGCCTGGTGGCAAGAGTTTTTCCAGTCTTGGAATGGTTGCAGCTTTCTTCAGTACCCCCAGTGGGCTCCAATTCCTGACTTCGAGGTTTCTTCAGATGCCTCTGGGGCTCTTGGTTATGGAGCAGTCTTCCAGGGTCACTGGTTTTCAGGTGCATGGCTCCCATCACAGGTCTCTCAGTCTATCGAGTACAAGGAACTTTTCCCTATCGTCGTGGCAGCTTACCTCTGGGGTCCCCAGTGGGCCTCCAAACGGGTCAACTTCCTATCAGATAACCGCTCAGTGGTGGACATTTTGCGGTCTGGCACTTCAAGAGCCCCTACCATCATGTCCTTGGTTCGCTATCTGTCCCTGTTGGCAGCTCGTCACTCCTTCTCCTTCACTGCCTCCCCAGTTAGAGGGAAGTCTAACCCCATTGCTGACTCCCTGTCTCGCTTTCAGTTTCAGCGTTTTCGCCGGCTAGCTCCTCTTGCAGACTCCATTCCAACCCAGATTCCGCAGCAGCTCCTCTCGGACTTGGATCTTCGCTGTCAGATAAATACCACTTCTATTTGACTCAGGGTCTTGCCCCCTCCACTAGGAAAGTCTATGCTTCTGCCCAACGCCGCTTCTTGGATTTCTGTGCTCAGGACAATAGCCTATCTCCTTCGGGATCAGCTCTTCCAGCCAGTGAAGACGTGCTCATCCGTTTCTGCTGTCATCTTGCTGATACTCTTCACCATTCATCCATAAAGGTTTACCTTTCAGCAATTCGGTCCCTTCACATTGAGGAGGGTCATCCTTCTCCGCTGGTTGGTTGCCTTCGGTTACAGCGGGTGTTGCGGGGCATCAAACGTCACCAAGGCTCAAATAAGCGTCAGCGCCAACCCATCACAATCGAGCTGATGCACATTATCTTCCAGTCCTTGAACTTCTCTGACTACAACCATACAATGCTTTGGGCTGCCTGCTGTCTCGGGTTTTTGGTTTCTTACGTGCTGGTGAGTTTACTGTCAACTCTCCCTTCAATCCTGACATCCACCTTGCTGTCAGTGATGTCCAAGCAGATTCCCTAGTCAATCCTAGCAGCTTCAGGATTCATATTAAGTGCTCTAAGACGGACCCCTTTCGCCAAGGTTGCCATATTTACATTGGTGCTGGTAAACGTGATCTCTGCCCTGTGCGCGCCCTTACCCAGTATCTACACGTCCGTGGCTCAACTCCTGGCCCACTCTTCCTTCTCTCTGATGGCACCTCTACATCGCCAATGGCTGACATCCAGTATTCAGTCTATCTTCTCCGCTGCTGGGGTCACTGGTTGCTACACCGGTCATAGCTTCCGCATTGGCGCTGCTACTTCAGCAGCCTCTCGTGGCTTACCAGATCACCTCATCAAGACACTTGGCAGATGGTCCAGCGATGCGTATCAGATCTATATTCACACTCCCGTCAGTACTATCGTGGGGGTAGCAAGCCTTCTCACTTGACAGGTATTTTCTTGCGTATCTTTCTCTTTTCCTAGTTGTCCTTGTAGGGTGCCTCGGGACTTGGGTAGTTCGGGGCCAGGGCTTCCCCCAGCCCTGAGCCCCTCTTTCCCTCTCCGATCTGGCTGCGTCAGCTCGAAGAGTCCCTTCGGCTTGGAATGGGGGCTCATGGCTGGGTTGCGGGGATTTGCCAGCCATGGGGACAGTTTTCTATCTAGGGGCTGGCTGGCCAGAGTGGAAGCCCCTAGGTATCCCAGGCACCCACCTTCCACTTAAGTGAGGCAGTTGGTTAAATTTGGTTAAATGTAATTTAACTAAGTTAACCACCACGAGCTTAGCGGTCAAGCGGTTCACAAGCGTAGCGGTCAAGCAATTCACAAGCATAGCGGTCAAGCGGTTCACAAGCTTAGCAGTTGAGCGGTCCACAAGTTAAGCGGTCCACAAGCTTAGCGGTCAAGCGGTCTACAAGCTTAGCGGTCAAGCGGCCCACGAGCGTGGCGGGCATCCAGCGGTCAATCCCATAAGTGCAGGCTCACATGGTGTGTGGTAGCTTTGTACATGGCTAGGATCTGCGAGTTGTTCATCGAGCGTTTGTGCAGTGGTCTGTGGAGCGGTTCATTTAGCGTCTTCCCCCCCTCCCATCCCTATTTTTCTTCCTTCCACTGTTTGATCAGTGTGACGGGTGCCTGGAATGGGGGCTCATGGCTGGGTTGCGGGGATTTGCCAGCCATGGGGGCAGTTTTTCTATCTAGGGGCTGGCTGGCCACAGTGGAAGCCCCTGGGTATCCCAGGCACCCACCTTCCACTTAAGCGAGGCAGTTGGTTAAACATCATTCACGTCTTGCAACCAATGGCTTTTTGCAGGGGGGGGGGGGGGCGTAGCGTAGCGGGGTTGGGTGATTTCAAAGAAGAATGAATTGTCTTTAAGAGGCTTATATCAACATCAAAACAGAAAAAAAGATACAAACAAACAACAAGAACAACACAGTTTGTTTCTGTGTTTACGTACTTAGCACGAACGTACTAATTGAAGACGTTATTTTTTACGTCACTTATTGAAGATGGGACCGCCATTTAACGTGGTAATCAAGGCAAAGGCAGCACCTTGGTATCATTATTTTGAGACCCTGAGTATTGGTCCGATCACGGGAAACCGACTGAGGCTGAGCTGAACAAAATACCCATAAACAACTAAACAAACAAACAAAAAACAACTACAAAAAAACAGAAACAAGGAAAAAATTCTTACCCAAACTAAATCACTCAACAACCATCACCGCCTCCTCAAAAGTTACATGGTCCATTCGTTTTATCATTTCCGACCTCTGCCGGCGCACCACGCATTCTTTTATGTAGCCTCCGACCAGATTGTAGTTTAAACTGACTGGTTTTCAAAACCGGTTACTTTAAATGTGGAATGCGCGGAATCCGGGTGCCTTTTTTGAGACTGTACGCTGGAAATTTCTGAGCTTACAGTTGTTATTGTGCAAACCGGTTCTGCAACTTATGTCGCACGTGACTAAAACGTCACTGGTTGTTAAGGAAACGCCAGAGCATGCGTGATGGAAAATGCGTCAGCGGCCGGTAGAGGTTTCTCTCCTTTCTCTCATTTTTCTCTTGGCGTGAGAGACCTCTGCTTCCAGGGAAATTTTATCAAAGATATAATAAATTTTACCGTACCTGTTCAACTGTTGCCAGTTTTGATTTTCCTGGGAAGTTTTTGCCACAGCCAGTAGATTTCGCCAGTTGTCGCGGTCTAACAGGTTCATGATCTACACCACGGCTAATCTGGTACAGCCAGTCACTGAATAACACACAAACAAAGAAATTAAGAATTATTATATTGTAAATGATTTGAACCCAAAAAAGTTCACTTTAGTAGTCCGGGTGCAAAGTGTAGAGGAAATATTAGACTACTTCTTAACATAGTTCTTCATTCTCCTCAGGGAGCAGAGCGAGCGCAACAAGCCAGCGCACATTTAAAACGCCACGCACGAGGAATCCCTTCCCCACCCCTTCTACGTGTTACCGTTCTCGCGGGAGACTTCCTCTGAGGATTCCCCCTAGCTTACTCGTAGTCCAGGGAAAAAAAGAACGCCCGATTTTCACTTTTTCACCCATTTCTTTCTATACCTTTTTTTACGACTGAAGCGTGCCCAATGTGCCAAAAAACGAAGTACACAAAATTAAAATTGTCAGCAAGAGTGCATTACGGCTTTAATTCGTTTTGGGAAAGAAAAGAACGAAAATTTCTGGGACCAGGGTATCGAATGGTAGAAAACGCTTTAATAGTTTAATCATAACCATTACAATTTCCTCAAATTTGATTAGTGCATTGACTGCTTTATTTTTCACCCGTCACTGTCAAAGTGTAGTGTTGTAATCTGACAGTGTAATCGGACTGTTGGCTGTAATCGGGCAGTTACATCAGCCAATCATATTAAGTGCACTCAGCTAAATCCACCAATCACAGAATTTATCACGATCTGAGGATTTTCCGAAATGGACGAATTTGTAACATTAGGCAGTGTCTCCGCCGGTGATATTTTACCATAATAAATCGCCTAGTCTCGTCATAAGGGCACGAAAACGATTAGCCAGCTTAGCATACACAGATTTCTAAACACAAAGGCAGAAATTTCGAAGTTTATAAAAAACTAACCGGCGCCGGCCTGCCACGCAGGCTGGAAAGAGATACACAAAGATACTGCTAATATGTGAAATCTTACCCGTTTTTTTCACCAAATCGCCCCTGCAGTTCGGCCAGAGAGTATCTGGCCAAATCACTCATCTTCTCCGCTCTCAAATTGGAAGAAACTTCAAAACCAAGCTTGCCTCCCATGTTTCGCCTAAAAGGGTGACAAAGTCTTAACTTTTTACTGGTTTATATTAAGTCCTGTATTTTGAAATGATAACACTCCCCGTTGGGTGGAAAAAAGGAAACAAACAACTGGTAAACAAAGAGATTGAGTCATCTAAATCAACCAAGACTTAACAAGTAATGTCTCGTTGGTAAGCCCCTACATTTCTGCGAAAAGAAACTAAGAAAAAGTTTTAAACTTCAAATGGCCCTTTTAAAAGCAAACTTACAGTCTCCGCGCGATACTACATGTATTCGACAAAAAAAAAAAACTTCAGAACTTTTTTACAGTAGCAAAAAATAGCACAGTTTAAAACAACTGCACGTATTTCTGTTGCGGTTCAAGAGTAGAGACAGTGTACATTAGCTCCAGCTTTTTAACCCAAAGGGATCCACTTGACTTGCAAACATAACTTTCATGATCATACGTCAATTATGTCTGGGGCAATATTTCCAACCCAGTGGCTATTCGTTCGGGACCCGTACACTGACTTGCACAGTCTAAACCATTAATATGGACACTAAGAGGGGCCATAGAAAGTGTCTGTATTACCGGGGTGTCCATATTAAGCGGGTTGACTTTAGAGAAAATGTAAGGGCTTTCTTTCCCCAGAGACAAAGCAAACTGTTTGTAATAATGAGGTGTCCATATTAAGCGGGTTGAATTTAGAGAAAATGTAAGGGATTTCTTTCCCCAGGGACAACTTAGCAAACTGTCCTTACTTAATAATGAGATGTCCGCATTAAGCATGTGTCCATGAAGCGGGGTTTGACTATCAGTGACTTTAAAATTCTCATCAGTCAACAGCCTTGGGTCAAGAACATTGTCGTCTACTTTAAACGAGTCAGTGTCTAATTTTTGACCCAGGAAATTTTTTTATAAGCTACATTTATGTTTTGCTGTACTTAAACATTTCAATACCATGAGAAATTTTTCTTACACTTTTTTGATTGGCACAGTTTCATATAACTTGGGCACAGCACATTGAGGAAGTAATGTTTGTCTGTTAGGTTTGTGACGACCACCAGCCAGCTTTGCCAACATCTGAAAAAAAGGAGATGAAAACATAGGGGTATTCTCTTAAATTTCCTATGTGACAGGGGCACCCAACGAGAATATAGTTAAAAACCACTTAAACATAGCATTGTTAAACGTATTTTAGCATTTAAACGGTAGATATAGGCCTTTTTTATCCCCTAAAAATTTTTCAAATGTTCGGATTTCCTATCTGAAAGTCTAGTGATCCGAAAATTATAGGGATCAAAACTTACCTTTTCGAAAATTTCATCCAGAGAAAAGTCTCCCGAAAATTATAGGTGACCTTTTTAGGGTAAAAAATCGGTTAAAAATGGGCAATTATACCATTTTTTAAATATTTGAAAATCCTAGGAGAGGCAGGCAAGCAAGAAATTTTACAACAAATGTTGCAAAAATTCTAGATATCAAATAGTCTTCGGAACAGATATTTTCCGAAAATTGACGTTGGGTGCCCCTGATGTGAGTGGGGCTACTGGTCCCCCAAACTCTAGAGATGCTGATCAGGCAAGATCAGTAGTATAGGAGGGACCGGTTAGGCCCCTTTTTTGCGGAGGATTCTCATTAGAGTGCGGAGGAATACATTAACGCCGATGACGTCATAGGCTATTGTCCTCATCTCATGAATAAAATGTGGTGGATTTAATTAAGTATACTGGTGACTTAAAATCACTGAGACGTAACGTAATTATGCACTTCCTATTTCCTGCTGCTGTGATTGTCCTTGTTTTTGGCGGGCAAATCGTGTATATTAAAGAGGGTAAAGGCAAACTAGCTCTTTTTTACACTGCAAGCAATGTTTTACTTACCCCTCTCCTTTTCATTTTTTATTTTCCTCCTCCTCCACAATTTTATCATTTTCCTTCCTCAAATTTTTTATTCCCTCCTCCTCCACCTCCTCCTCCTCATTGTTATTTTTCCTCCTCGTCGTCATTTTTATTGTTTTCGCTCCTCCTCCTCCTCATTTTTATGGTTTTCCCTCCTCCTCCTCCTCATTTTCTATTGTTTTCCCTCCACCACCACCACCACCACCACCACCACCACATTTCTATTGTTTTCCCTCCACCACCACCACCGCCACCACATTTCTATTGTTTTCCCTCCACCACCACCACCACCACATTTCTATTGTTTTCCCTCCACCACCACCACCACCACCACCGCCACCGCCACCACATTTCTATTGTTTTCCCTCCACCACCACCACCACCACCACCGCCACCACATTTTCATTGTTTCCCTCAAAAGGCCAAAGAGGCCAAAATCAGGCCTAAAAGGCCAAACTCAAGGAGGGAAACAGTGAAAATGTGGTGGCGGTGGTGGTGGTGGTGGTGGTGGTGGAGGGAAAACAATAGAAATGTGGTGGCGGTGGTGGTGGTGGTGGTGGTGGAGGGAAAACAATAGAAATGTGGTGGTGGTGGAGGGAAAACAATAGAAATGTGGTGGCGGTGGTGGTGGAGGGAAAACAATAGAAATGTGGTGGTGGTGGTGGTGGTGGAGGGAAAACAATAGAAAATGAGGAGGAGGAGGAGGGAAAACCATAAAAATGAGGAGGAGGAGGAGGGAAAACAATAAAAATGACGAGGAGGAGGAAAAATAACAATGAGGAGGAGGAGGAGGAGGAGGAGGAGGAGGAGGGAATAAAAAATTTGAGGAAGGAAAATGATAAAATTGTGGAGGAGGAGGAAAATAAAAAATGAAAAGGAGAGGGGTAAATAAAACATTGCTTGCAGTGTAAAAAAGAGCTAGTTTGCCTTTACCCTCTTTAATATACACGATTTGCCCGCCAAAAATCAGTGAACCGGAACAAGGACAATCACAGCAGCAGGAAATAGGAAGTGCATAATTACGTTACGTCTCAGTGATTTTAAGTCACCAGTATACTTAATTAAATCCACCACATTTTATTCATGAGATGAGGACAATAGCCTATGACGTCATCGGCGTTAATGTATTCCTCCGCACTCTAATGAGAATCCTCCGCAAAAAAGAGGCCTAACCGGTCCCTCCTATACTACTAAGATCGCCTAGGCCCAGTTATTCAAAAGGTGGATAATGCTATCCACTCTATGCACTGGATAACACAATCAGTTTCATGAATACTTGTCCACTGGATATCACAATCTAATGTTTGAACAACGGGGGCAAGGTCGCAAAAGCTAAATCTACAGACACGGGAGTGTTTTAAATATTGGTTCTCTTTTTTAGATATTTAACCTGTTTTAAGCCATTCTTTCCAAAGTTTTGATTTGTCTGAAAACTTAAATGTGCTCTCTTTATATCTGGAAATGTTACTGCGGGCTATAGCTGGACAGGTGTAGGCAGGCTGTTGGCAGCTGCAATAAGGCCAGGAAAAGTTGGGGGGAAAGTTATAAGTACATGTAGCCTGCCTGCAGTTGTCTCCAATTTCCTTTGTTCTTCACAGAAAAGGAAAGTCTGTGTAATGCCATTTGCTAATCATGTTCTGGCTTCCCAAGCTCTTGGAAAAGAACTTTGATTGGCTGTCTCACTGTGGGCATTGTCTGAAAGATTCTAATCGGTTGTGATGAAAAACTGATCCCATAATGTATGTGGTGATTTATTCAACCTAAGTTTAGCCGAAGGAAATCGGAATTGCCTGCACACACACTACTTAGCAGTACCCTGCCTGGGAACTGGCTCTTAAGTGAAGCAGGGCATGGCCTTGGGGTGAAAAAGGAGGGGTGCCTGTAGACTTTGTTTTTATGCTGCCCATCTACTCACTTACAATTATCCAATCAGATCATGATACCAGAATCTGGTATCATGGATGGGTGGCATCAGAAAAAAGTTTACAGGCTATCCTGCCTTAAATTCTCCGCAGGGCCACACTTGGCTTGCTTTGTTCGAGGGTTGTCTTTTTCTCTTTGCTCCACTTTGAAGCCTGTTCACAAGTTACTTAGAAGCAGTAAAATAAAAAAAGAATCAACTGTGGGATGTTGAAGAATTTGCCTTACTTTGTTATGAGCAATTCCAGCAGAGCATGTAAACTGTGTCTCTTTAAGGACAGCATCACGCATTTCTGACACAATAATTGCACCAACAGCCAGCTTTCGGGTGTTTTCATCTTCTTGCAACGAGGCCTTCCAAGCATCTTTATCAACAGTTTGGGTATCACCATTGTCAACCATGAACCCTTCCAGGAAAGTTGATGCAGCAGACCTCTCAGCAATTTCATTAATGTCCATGCTACTTAGTTTCCTGTTAAAATAAATATTAAATAAGCAAGATAAAATTACATGTTTATATCACAAAGGTGTTGATGCAGAATAAATGACCATTTTCCACCTGTGACAGCCCGAGTCAAAATTGTCTACAGTGGAACCTCAATTTAACGAACCTAGTCTATATAGGTGGTTTTCACAGTGATGTCATCAAATTGTAAAGTCAAAATATCGAGGTTTTACGAATTCTTATTTACACTCGGTTAAAGATAAACAAGTTTCCATTCCCGTAGCATGTTTCATTTCCGCGAAAATGCAGCGATTTGAACTTCCTACTTTTCACAGTGCATGACACCAAAATAGGAATGTTGTCTCGTTGAAAAAAGGTCTCTCCTCTTGATTTTTAGCAGCATAACCATTTCAAGTATTAGAAGATATGTTTATGCGCACGTATGCTAGTTCTCAAGTGAAAAGAAAGAGCTTTTATAGAAAAAGTGAACTCCAGATGTTTTTGTTGATTTCCGGCGGCCATATTGGTGCACCAAAACGGTGCACCAATTTGGCGTCGCCATGCAAAGCTCTACAAAGGTGTGTGAAACGTTTCAGCAAAAAACTCAGAAACTGTGGGCCGCAAAGACCTGAGACTTAAACAAATTGTTTATATATTAGTCTTTAATAACATTTCATTTTCTCGGTTTCTTCCACCGCACGGTTTCCAATTTAATGTTTTGTTGCGTGACAGTGAAAACGATCTATAACCAAGTCCTTGATATAACAAATGATTTTCTTTACACCAATAATAGTAAATATTTGAAAAAGAACCTCAATATAACTAAACCTCTTTATAGCCACCAAATTTTTTCAGTCTCTTGGCTGCCTTGGCCCTTCAATAAATCCAGGTTCCACTGTAGAAGAATTCTGAGGGCACGCATGGGAGGAAAATTTTTAAAATTTGAACTCTTAAAATTTAAAATCAGAATTACTTTTATTCTGGAGATATCAAATTTATTTTCAAAATTCAGATGTGCATTTATATTACCATGAGCTACATTAAGACTAAGCAGGAAGTACAAATAGATGTGACATCCTTGTACAATGTAATTAAATAAGGCCACAAAGAAAGTAAAGGAAAGGATAATATTTGTGCAGGTATATTATTTTTAGATACCGTGTATCAACATTATGTACCACAATAATAAAAATAACAATTATAATAAACCTATGAGTGTTACATTAAATAGTTAAATGGTATAACACCTTTTTAGCTTGGATTTTTTATTTTCCCATTTCAAGCCATTGATGTTTCTCTAGCCAGCTCTTTGTTTTTAAATTTTCACCCTAATTTACATGCCTGATAATTTATGGAAAAAAAAACAGACAGAGGAAAAACCACTTCTAGATAACATCACATTGCCCTCAAACAGGGCAACAACTAAGCATAGCTAAAAGAAGACTATTCTTAAGGGGAAGAATTACTGTATTTAGTAAAGCATATAACTAAAGAGAGTTCAGCTTGCTAGACATTTTATTGTTATTCTGAATAATTTAAGTATTATAACTAGCATCTCCAAGTTATGTTTTTAAATATAGCCCTTTAAAGGACTAGAATGATGGTTCGACTTATGGCATATTAGAAAAAATTTACTTCTTAAACTTGTGAGACATTCTTATTTTAATGATAATTTTTGTTCTCATCACATTTGTGTCTGATAACGCAGTAATAGTAAGGGAGAAGGTGAATATTGATCTCTGTTAGTTGCCTTTCAGCTGTCAAAAATATAATGAAGAGCAGCTGCATTTGTTCTAGTAAGTCTTCCTGTTTTCAAAAAACAAATAAATTTTTACCATCTCCCTTAACATGCAATAAAGCTAAAGGAGGAAAAAGAACCAGCATTTACTTCCATTGCCTTCTTTCAGGTATTTAAAAACAATTAATTTAAAACGAATTGTTACTGACGATAATATTGCTGCTTTGGCTTAAATATTGAAAGGAAAGCATTGTTACATGGAAAGGTGAAAATCTACTACTCCAATAGGACAATATTTTTGTTCAAATTAGCAACTTAGTGCTCCGAGAAGTTACCTCAAATAATGGAGCTGTAAAATATTTATAAAATATAATTTCACATGTATTTAAGGTGACCTCAGAATACGATGCAGATACCTTTCTATTGTGGACAGTTCACCATTACCAACACTGCACATTCTTACACTCTACAGTAACTTACATTTTCACATTTTCTGTCAGATCAAGATAAGCTTCATCCACACTTGCTCTCTCACAATGATCACAGAAGCGTGAAAGCACAGCAATAACCTCGGCTCCTGCCTCCCGATAAAGAGTTAAGTTGGCTTTACCACGGGCTTCTGGAACACGCACCAAAGTTATTTCTGGACATTTCTCCTTAGCCTCATCTCCTCGCATATTTCGAGTCACTCCAAAATCACGTGCCTCATAGCTCACTGCTATTATACTGTGAAGTAAATGAAGGCAATCATATATCTGAATGCCTTAAACAGGCTATGACAATAATGCTTTAACTTACATGTATCAGCGGTCACCCCTGGGGTCGATCCCAGAGACATACTCGTACATGGCACAGGATTTGTTGACATTTGCTGCATTTTCTGCATTTGTTGACATTTGTGAACCTTCTATAAACCCTTTTGATTGCAACTCTATAATAGAGGTATTTATAAGAACAAAAGGAACGTGTCCTTGCAATGTGGAAGTCCCTTGAGCATGAACTCACTGCACTTTGTGACTATAATCTTCATCTGAACCAACTGCTGCTCCAGGTGGAGAAGCGATGGCAGCATTTTGTGGAGAAATTTTGTTCCTGGGAGATTTGTAAATGTCATTATGCAAATGCTAGGGGTGGGGGGGGGGGTCCCAAGGGGTTCGAAATCCCCCTGAGATGACCACTGATAAGTGCATAACCAGGCTTATTACTACATTAGCCTCCTATAATAATAATATCATATCTATCTACCTTGTCTGGGGAAAATCAGGTGTTTAGCATATAGTGATCATAATTTATATCTTATGCCTGTCAACTCTAATGCATTATGCATGATTTCATGCTTGTGGATTAAAGACATCAAACTCACGCATCAAGGGCAATTTCTCATGCCTAACTCACAAATCCAGACGATTTGTTCTTTAACACATGATTGATTACAAAATTAAATTTAATATGCCCAAAAATATTCCAAAAAGTAGGCTCGATTTCTGCTGCTCCCTCAGTCCTCCCTGAGAAGAGACTCTATTCAGGGGAGGAGCGTGGGTTCATTTCCCGAACAGCAGTGCGTAATCGAGCCTATCCAAAATGGCACTCAATTTTATCACAACACACTAAAATAACACCTTTGAAATAGCTTCAGAAGTGCTCAAAGGTTATCGGAGCATCTTCGGACATTTTCAGCAACGTTTGAAAGTCTTCAGAAAATCACCGGAAATGTTCGGAAACTCTGGTAATGACAAGACCAAAACCTCACACATTTGACTCTGAAAAAGTTGGCAGGTATACTGTAATATTACAATGTATTTCTTTACATGATAAAGTTGAGTTGCAAGGGGACCTCTTTCAGACAATGACCGGAAATGTAATGTTGTGACTGATCCAGTGGTAACTGTTAAACAGACAAGTAAGCTCATGTCTGTAAAAGGTTTGAACCAAGGAGTCATGTCACACGTAGGTTGAGTATGATCGTCTGGGTGAACGTAGTCCTGAATAGGATTGTTGTTGTTGACAGTGACTGACGTTCTGACAACCAGTGTGATAGTCATCTTCAGAGTCAAAGTGAGTTGTATCACGGGAAATTATGGTATTTAACTCTGGCTATTGACCTGACTGGTCAATTACAGCGGTGATTATATTGGCATGAACACCTAAAATATGTCTGGAATGTTTATTGTATTGCAACCAATCACAGGTGAGATCTTCACACCACAGAAACCACAGGCAACGACAGTTTCCGATCGGTCATGGAAAAAATTATTTTCGTTTTGTTTAAGGATACAAACTGCCTTATTAGGAATTTAAAACACCGCTGTTCCCCAGGATCAGTGCTGAGGACCGCATCCAGTACATCGTTCGATTTTAGAAAGAAAAGTTTTAGAAGCCAACGCGACACGACGGCGACCAGCTTTCCATGTAACGACATATCACATGAAGACAATAAAAAATGAACAATCTTGATGTTTTCGTTTCTGATAGCATAATCCTTGCTAATATTTTTTTGTAGAACAAGGGGATTCGATTTGTGTGGACTAACGATTGAACCTTCGAACTACTGTGCTGGCAGAAGTCCCTTGATCGCAAGGTCGCAAACTGGAAAGACCACCGACCAAATTCAACATATATGGAATGATTGGCACATTGCGCAACGTAAACATTCCAATTTTCGGTATTCCTTCCAAAATATAATTTTGCTTTTTCTCTGAAAGCATTTACGCATTTAATATCTGGGGGATTACATGCTATAGGAAGCTAGTTATGAGGGGATTTAGCCAGGAAGATTTCAAGTCCAAATTAGCACATTTTGCACGCAAAAGAAAAAAAATATGATTATCTCTGATCGCAGTTCTTCGATCTGCTTCGATTTTTCACGAAAAAGTGTTTACGCTTACTGCATTAGCTGTGAAGCAATGGAAATCAGAAAACTCTAGCGGCTTACCTTGCAACATTGTAACTTGCGATCAGACGTAACTACCGATTTCGATCGTTACAAAAAGTTTGAAAACTCGCGTGCCAAACCGTCGCGTGCGTAACACCGCGGCAAAACGTCAACGCATGCGCCAGTTTGAGCATTTCCGGTCTCTTTTTCAGTCACACTTTCCAGTCAGATCAAAGTCTCCCGCGCTCTCTCCGCTTCATTCTGTGTGCAGCTTGTGGCTCAGTTGTTCTGCTTTATGCTGCTCGTGTTTTTGACTATTTTGTAGTTATTGAAATTGCTTTTATGGATAACCAGGCACAAATCACTGAAACAATTAGTCGATTAGATTCAGAAAAGGTAAGATGATAATAACTCAGTGTGTAATTTTGGCTAGAGCGTCAGGTAAACTGATTTTCATTCACAAAATTAAAGTTTTTGACTGTTATTTTTCACTTAACCTGGCTGAAACTAAGACATGAAATTAAAACGTTATCATTGCAAGCTTGTGTATTGTAGTTCTAATTTTCAGTTCTTCAGTTTCTCAGTCTACATGTGTTAAAGCCGATTCAAACTTTATTTGGAAAACGACAACACACAATCGCTTTGTAGTTTTGTTTACCAGTGGGTTTTACCGTGTTTTAAAACGAAACTCTTCTGGGTTGATTGCCATGAAACATAAGCTTAATTATACTGTTGAGCCGGTTGGCAGCAAGTTGACAACTCTATTTATTTATTTTTTCATTCTCAGAATCAGAGAGCGAAAGCTGGTTCAGTGGCTTTTAGAAGTCGAACTTTTCATGCCATGTATTTAGCAGCTAGAAGTTTCGTGTTTGCATGAGATGCAGCCGAGCCGCACAGTCTGAAATTATTGAAGTCGTCAACAAAAGAACAACCATGTAAAAGAATTAAATAGGCATTTTCTTGAATGAAAGTCATTTATAGGCATGTTTAGTTTCCGGTGACTGCAGTCATCAAAGTCAAAGTTGTTATTAAATCCCGCCCATCTTTTGTTTTGAGTTCTTGTTTTCTATGATAATAAAACAAATTATTGAACGGACTAAAATTTTATTTCCTGGTTTTAGTGTTTTTATGATAATGATGACGTCTTTATTTTGGTTTCTTTCATAAGTATTGTTATTCTTTTCTTAGTTGTCGCCTTCTCCCAAATTAACTTATGCCAAACCAGTAGCATGCAAGAAAGCCAGTAAAAACAAATTCGTCTTGTCAAGCGCTCGCGACCTGCAAACTTCAAACATCATTTTCACCGTTGGTGCAAACAGATAACCATGTGGTGCAAAAGTTTGAGAATAGAAAAATATATAAGCTTTCGAATGAAGTGATTTTTTTGGCCCCCTTTTTTGTCTGTTTCGCCCTTTTTGCTTTTAAACTTGGCGCGACGGCAAAGTTATGCTTTCGCCATTGGTTTATATACTAGACCGGAAATAAAAAGCTGACCGGATATTAAATTTTGTGCTCATGCGCATTGCGTTTTGCCGCGGTGTTCGCGTGCGTAGGCCCGGCACATCGGCTTTGTAATTTATTTCAAAATCGCTCGAACCTGTATTCTTCGCTAGCAAATACTGTAAACAAATAGGAAGGAAAAGCAATTGTTTACTGGTAAAAAGACTGAATGTTAAAACAAAATGAAAATAATTTGTTCCGTGACAGATAGGAAACCGTTCGTTGCTTGTGGTTTCTGTGGTGTGATGATCTCGTCTGTGATTGGTTACATCACAATAAACATTCCAGACATATTTCAGGTGTTCATGCCAATATGATCACCGCTGTAAGTCAAAATGTTATTAGCCTTTTGTCAAAGGGGGGAGTAAGGGGGGTACAAATATCGCAAAACCATACAGAATTCCTTATAGACCCCACAAAGAATAACATAAGAAAACTGCAAACGTCATTGAAGTTACCCGAAAATTTCTAAATACCGCAAACCTCTTGGTTTTGTAAAACTGCAATACCGCAACTTAAAATAAAAATTTCCGCAAAACCGCACTAAATCGGGGAAAACCGCATCACAGCAAACCCTCACAACCCCTCCTGTCAGTTAAGCCGTGATGTTCTTGGCTATGAAGACTCGTAATGTCATTGGCGCGTTTCGATCCGTCTATTGTCACAGTTAATAGTCGTTTATTGTTAGTCAAATTGTCAGTTGCCCATTTGTTCTTTCGTAGTTTTGCCTACTAATAACTGGCGTCATGTAAACATGATATGTGAGTAAATGGGGTACGTTCGAGGTTAAAAGGACTCTGTGCACGTTTTTTGAACGAGTTTTTACGCATCAAGAAGGGCGAAAGGCAAGATGCACGTATGTACGCTTGATTCGAGGATATTAAATGATAATATTTGCCAAATAAGGCAAGATAAAAACGCAGCAAGTTTAACATCTGTTAAAAATATTGTTGTTATTAGTTACCGGAAGAGTCTTATCGCTTGTTTTTGCTAACTAATGCAACAAATACACTTTGTTTAAAAATCGAACACCTAATCGAAGTTCAACTTACCCTCCACCCTTCCAAGTTTTATACTGAACCACGGCGCAAGGCTTTCCTCGTAATTCAGGATTCCGTCTCTGTTCAACTTGGACGTAAAAACAATCCATATCAACCAACGCTACGATACGATCTAACGCCATCTGTCCTAAACACCCAGGCACGACGACGCCACAAATATTACGACGAGAATCGTTTTGGACGACCGGGAGAAGCCATTTTGAATTTTCTGGTTCTCCCGCGAAAAGGTGATTTCTACTGAATAGGGAGGGGAGGGCAACGCTAACAAGACCCCTCAATAAAAGAGGTCACCATTGCGCCTAAAAAAAAATAAATCTGAAATTTAGGCAAAAAAAACTTCTCTATATTCATGTCTGATAAAGTAAGGATCAGTTCATTGCAACAAAACTAAAATGCAATGAAAATATACTGACGAAACATTCCCTTACTCTCCCATACCCGGACAGTAAAAGTCTTCGAACTGTGCTCGCAATGCACTGTGGATTGTAAACAAGATGGCGGCAGCGGAAAGCCGAGTGAGTATAATTTGAAGTGCTATAGTTGTCGTTGGTTTTGTTTTAACCAAAACCTAATCTAAAACCACTATGCAGAGAATTGTCACGTTAATCAATACTTCTTATGAAGAAGATATTTTTTGTGGTTATGCTGAGGTGTAAAATTCGCATATCGTAACTGTGGGTCCAGCGCAAGAAAAACATTGTTTCTAGGTCTTTTGTTTGTACGCTATGGTTGAATGAATCAATCTAAAAAGGATTTCTTTGTCAATTGTGCCACCTGAAGCTGAGACACTTAAGAAGGAACTTAATAATGCGACAATTTAAAGCACTGATACGTCCCAAGAGGAAAAACAAAAGCCCAAAGGGTTTTGATTTGTTACGCGAGAGAGCAAACTTATAGACGTTTTCACGTCCAAGTGTGAATTCCCGTGTTGAGAGGGAATTGGCTGGGAATTTTTGGCTAAGGAGCAAATTAATTGAGAGGTCAAAAAGGTTAGGTGACGATTAACTCTGACACTTCTGATTTTAGTCTTTGTGCTGAATTAAAACCGTTCTGTGTTTGCATGTTCTGTCTTTTAACCACTTTCTTAGAACGTAGCTGTAGTTAAGCTTGTAATTGCACGCAATTGTGGATGTACGATCAAATATATTTTCAAAGAAAAAAAAACCAAGTTATGTATATATACATGTAGATTAACTCTTTTCCTCTGCCATTGCGCCAATATTTCATGCAAGTTAGATGTTTAGATTGATATTAGATGTTATCGTGTAGGCAGGCTTGATACATATTTTATCATGCGGTGACGTGCTTTTGAAAGTCAAATTAAGATTGAGTGTTAATTAATCGGTTTTACTGAAAAAAACGTTGTGGAGGGATAAATTTACTAGTTTTTATTACCTGTGATCAAATTGATGAAGTGGTTTTTCCACAATATTTCCATTTGTTCATTGATATTCTTCATTTTTCTCATCACATTGTGAGAACCAATATAGGAAAAGATTGATGTTTTTCAGTCATAAATATTTTATGACGATTTAAAATTGTAATTTTCTCTGAAAAGTCTAGTCATGGTTGATTATCAATCAAGCTAAAATAGTGAATTAATATTTATTGATTACAATTTAGTCCATTGCTTTTATGGAAAATATGTGCAAAATTTTGCTGTGATTTGTTTAAGCACTTGTCATGAATTTTGCATACATGTTTTCTTTTAATACTCTGCAGGGTATTTTTTTATATGTACTGTAAGTAGCTTTTACTGGATAGTAATAAATTCAGTTTAAAAATTGATCCAGTGCTCTGATTACCTTGTAGAGGCTCAGTTGTTAGGCCGTTATTGTGTTAATTTTTGTTAGTCTTGTTGTAGTAAAAATGGTACATGCAATGCTTGTTTTTCATAATATATGCAGACTTGTTTTCCTAAACAAATTGTACACTGACAGGGTCTAAGGGTCTTAAAATGCCATGCATTTTTCCACTGACATCTCATGCTGTCTTGTTGATATTTCAGATGAGATTCAAAGTTTATCTGGATGAAGGGCATAGAGTAGCTGAGATATTTGTTTCTGCAGCAACACAATGCAAAGATATAGTTCATAGGCTTCAGAGACAGATCCATGCCACAGATTGCTTTCTCCTTGAAGTTTGGCAAGGATGTGGTAAGTTACATGCTGACAAGTGAATAAGTGAATTTAAATTCAGTTCATGAACAGCAAAATGCCAGTAGAACTCTCACAGATTTTGAGAAACAAGCCCATGCATGTTATGACATTACTCATACCTGGGAGCTATCACTTTGAATGAATACAACATGGCTCTCTTTTACATAATTAGATTTGAACTGTATGATGGGGTAGCTTATAGCTGTATTTGGCACTCTAAGTGACAGAGAAAAATAATTTAATTGTTACATGTGTTTAAAGGAAAGGTCAAGTTTTAGAAAGTTGAATTCAGGAAAATAGAAATGGTTTACATTAGAACACTGTCGTCTTTTCATAGAACTGTCTGCAATATCGGTCTTGAAAAAATTGTTGTATTTTATCAAAAAATATTCCAATCCAGCCTCCATAAATATTCTTTGCCAGTTGAGAACCATGCATTTTCTTGTTGGTGTTTTTCAGTCGAAGTACTGCCTCATTTTTACTAACTAATCAGTTTGCTTGTTTTAAGACTGTGGTTTTGTGACTTTGCTAAAGGTGTATGTTATTTTTGCCTGCACCAATTATTATGCACAGATACAACAACAAAAAGCCATTAATTTATGTAAATTATGGTGACACATACAGCTACAATAATAGTATGATGCAGTCAACCAGGTTCTTCATAAAAATATGGGTCACTGAATTTACCAGTGTGCAGTGCAGACAATCTTTGATGGTGTCTTTATTCAAGCATGTTCATACAATGTACTCTGTTGTGCAAATTAATTTTCCATTATTTGTATTGAAACTGTGTAGTTTTCTGCAATAATAAAGTTTTATGCTATTGCCTCAAACCTTGCTATAAAATGATGAGTAATACAATAAAATTCCGAAAATAGGCCCCGGGGCTTATATTTTTCCAATTTTTTTTTTTTGAGGGGCTTATGTACGGAGGGAAATTTGCATTTCAAAATCGATTGGGCTAGCTTGTAGTGGGAAGGAAATTTACCATTATTGCTTTGTTTTACTTTGTATTCGAGAGCAAATTCCAAGTACAAGCCCCCCGGCGGGCTTATATTCTTAGGGGTGATTTAACGGAGGGTTTTTTACATTGCGATTTTGGGGGGCTTATATTTGGATGGGCTTATACATGGAGGGGATTATTTTCGGAATTTTACGGTATCATGTTATATAAGTTACATGTACGTCTCTAGAGGAACAATACAAAAACACCCATTTCTTAGACTGTTGGTGCTTTAATTATTATCATATGATGTAAGATTTTATGGTTATCAAATGACCTGTTGAATTTGTGTTTATTTTTCTTCAAAGAGCGTCTTGTGCCTGATAATGAATCTATCCTTACCACTCTGCTAGAGTGGGGCAGTGATCTGGAAGATGTGAAATTTTACCTTCATCGCAGAGAAGAAACACCAGCTTTTACCCAAACATTGAATGGTAAGATTTGAGTCTATTGATGAAATCCTATGGCAGGGTTTGCAAATACGCCAAATTTGGCGTATTTTACGCCAAAATTGTTCAGATGACTCCACAGAGGTTACGGAGGGAGTCACTTCGACTCCAGAAATTTTCGGTAACAAACAGGGAGCCACTTTGACTCCAGAAATTTTCGGTAACAAACAGGGAGCCACTTTGACTCCAGAAATTTTCGGTAACAAACACAGTTTTGTCCTGACCTTTTTTCGCAACAAATACAAATTTCGTTAATTGTAAACGTTGTAAACCTTAATTAAATCATCAAAATTAAAGAATTATACTGCACGACAAAACAGGGTAAATTATGATCAAAGTTTACTCGATGACCGCCATCATGGATTTAAGCTTTCCAGGTCAGCGGACCGCCAAAGCTACTTCGTGTATCCCTCATGATAGTGTATACATGCCAGGACCACGTGCTGGAAAGTCTGAAAATGGCTTTTTTCGTTGTGATACTTGACTCCAAATATTCCAAAATGACTCCAAAATTTGTGAAGCAGAAGTCACAGTGACTCCACTTATCAATAAAATTTGCAAACCCTGCTATGGTGTGACCATTCAAATGAAAGCTACTGAGCAGTACTTTCCTGTGGTGCTGTTTATTATGCTGTACATGGTGGTCGAACTTTTGAGTCTGTGGATGAAATCCTATGGTGTGACCATTCAAATGAAAGCTACTGAGGAATACTTTCCTGTGGTGCTGTTTATTATGCTGTACAAGGTAGTTCTAACTTTTGAGTCCGTGGATGAAATCCTATGGTATGACCATTCAAATGAAAGCTGCTGAGTGGTACCTTCCTGTGGTACTGTTTATTATGCTGTACAAGGTGGTTCTAACTTTTGAGTCTATTGATGAAATCCTGTGGTGTGACCATTCATGTGAACTGTCTTTGTAAGTACAGTCACATAGTCCTATTTGCTTTTCAGCATTTTACCAAACAAAATTTGGAAATTTTGTCGAAATTTGACTTGGGCTAATTTTACTCTCTGTTTTGACTCCCCTTTCGCCAGTGAGTGACAGGCTGATCTCCAAACTTGAGGCCCTGTGACTATTCTCTGTCTCATCCCCCACCATCCCTGATGAATTTAACTTCTGGCAGGATAGCTCATTATTTGCCAAGTTTCCTAGTCGCATTCATATAAAGCTCATTAAAGGACTAGAACTTGAACTCGTTTTGAAAGTCAGGGTCTTTTGGAACTAAGAAATGGCCTATTGAACCTTCTTTGGGCTTCTGTTTCCCTCCTTTCCACCAGCATAGCCATAGCTCCTCAAGGAATAATAAGACCATACCAAGTTTGGGTTAAAAATTCACCTTAATTTGTAAATTTTACTTTTTCTTTAACACAGGACCTGCATTAAGCCACAAAGTTAATGGTTTCAAAAAGGAAGTGCCAGTTTCCAGAGATGTAGTAAGAGCATTTCAGTTCACTTAATCAAAATATTAAGTATGATACTGTTTGATACTGTCTATTATACAGGGCTGTGCTCTAGCAAGAATATGGTGCCCCCCAAACACCCCCGCCCTTCCAATCACTTACAATTGACCACTCCAGAAAATACCATAACATACCATAATGCTCTTTGTTTGTCACCCCCTTAGCTCAGTCTCCACATTAATAGGCTTTGACTCTACTGCAGAGATTTTCGTTTGGGAAGGAGGGCTACCATGTTCTTCATTATTTTCCTAAAACAATTGCTGAGAGGAAAAAGCCCAGCTGTATAGCAGAATGACTTTCCCTACAACCTTCGTTTATTTTAATGAACACTTTTTCCTTTTTTTCTTCAGCTTTTAGGTGGCAGTAGAATCTCTGTTGATGAACTGAAAGAATTTGCTGCAAGGCAGCAACAAGAGATCATAACCAAAGAGAGAGAACTTAAGACAAAGCAAATACAACTTATGGAAATGAAGCGAAAGTCACAAAAAAGACCTCAGAACCCCTACCTCCAGCAGTTAACGGCCAAAGCAGATGAACAAGGCGAGAAACTCACAGCATTACGGAAAGTACAAGATCAGGTCGATTCTTACAAACTCAGCAATAGTGCTTTGGGTATGTCGGAAATGATTCCTTACGCTGACGTGCTTGTATTTTCTGATTTACTGTACCAACAGGGTAGGAAAAAGCCTGAATCCCAGCTTGTCTTTTGGACAAGCAGCTCTCACATTTTTGCTTGCCCATGGTCATTACTCTCTTGCCTCAGCTAATAGAGAGCTTTAGATTTGAGGACGAGAACAAACACGAGTAGGAGATTAAACTCAAAGTTTTTGCGCGTGTTCTGAAAAAAAAAAAACACCCCGCAAAGCTTCATTTTACCTTTTTTCACCACAAAAAGTTAGTACGGTAGTTTATTCTTAAGAGGGTTAACCCCTCTCGCGATAAATTATAAAACTTCATACATTTGATAACTTGTTCCCGCCACTATACGACATTCTCGCAACATTCTCGCTAATATAAAGCTCGTCAGCTGCTCGTAGTAGATTGACGACGGCTGTCAAGTTTTCCCGCCAAATGACGCTGGTTCACGCGTGAGCAATACTCAGTATTGAGAAAATCTCGTACTCGTAGTCGTCCTCGTCTCAGAATCTAAAGCTCTCTAATGATTTAGTTAACAGATGACTGTTATGAACACTTGCCCATTGGACAAGTAACGTGAAAAAATTACTTCTCCAAAAAGAAAATCCACTGTCCCCGACGACCGGCTAGGACTGTACTATCCAAGGGTGTTGTCCTTGGAGACATGAAAATTAGTTTTAGCTTATGAGCATCTGTTGGTGATAACATTCAAATGAAGCCTCTCTTGCCGTGGTTTCATGAGACGCGATTTTCTGTTTTTATAAGGGAACAGTTCCTCGTAATGCGACAAGTGAAGATTTAAACCCACGTTTTTGTTTACCTTCATAAAGATTATTTAAGACTTGCATTTAAGACAAGCGATATTTTGTCAAGGTTCGACTTTGGGCGATAACCCTTAGTTACATAGTCCTTGAATATACTTCGAGATGAGAACATTTTGCTTAATCAAACGTCCGTTTTTGTTGGCCAGTTCTTAGCCTCTTGAACAGTGAAAGGTGCAATTCGTTAAGTGTCTTCAGACTAAATCAAGACAATCACTATGGCTAATCAAGATATTAGCAAACTATAGCCAATCAGAGCTCGCCGCATTTATGTGTAGACGCCTCAAAGCCAGGGAAACACACCCAAGAGGAGTGTGGTTTCGATTGGGGGAAAAACCAAATGTTGCGAGATTTATCAACCAATCAGAAAGAGTAATGATGTAAAACCATAGCAACTTTTGTCACCCTTTTAATTTAAAACTCTAACCGTGATGTTTTGTTTTGTTTTTTTCGTTTTTTCTTGCTTTAGCTGAGGAACTGGAATGTGTACGTTCCCTTTTCATGGAAAAAGAAAAAGAACTGGCCATTGCCGTCGCCAAGGTAGAAAGTCTTACACAACAGCTTGATAAGCAAAGACAAGGATGGTCTCAAACTTCACCCAGCCGAGAAAAAACGCATCAACAGTTGGAGTTGGAAAGACTCAGGAAAGAACTTATGGTGAGAAGGCGTGACAGTTGAACTTCTTGAGACAACAGTAACGCAAGTATTATAGGCTTGAGGGAGAAGGCGTGACACTTGAACTCTTAAGACAACAGTAACGCGAGTATTATAGGCTTGAGGGAGAAGGCGTGACACTTTAACTCTTATGACAACAGTAACGCAAGTATTATAGGCTTGAGGAGGTAGCTATATTTACTAAATTACGTTCTCGCCTCCGTTGGACATAGCAGCGTGCGAAAAAGCGTCCACATAGGCCTCGTCCACACGAATCTGGGTATTTTTTTAAACCCGATATTTTTTACACGAATCAGCCTTCTGTCTACACGAACCCAGTGGATAAGCTCACCGAAACCGCATATTTTTTAAAATCGCTCTCCAGGGTGGTTACAGGCCCTTTTCTCGCTGTCCGCTTCGCGGCTCGCTCTCTCTTTCCCGACGAAAAATTTCAAGGAAAACCTCTGGGACCAGTGTAGATCCACACGGATCCGGGTAAAAAAAATATGCGGTTTCAAACATCCCCGGGTTAGTGTGGACGAGGCTTTAGTTTCTGTTTTATCCATGTGAACGCACCAATGACAGTCAGAGTCTTCATAGTCAATAGCGTCACGGCTTAACTAACAGACAACCAATCAGGTCAATAACCAGAGTTTAATACTATCAACTGAAGAGATACAACTCACTTTGACTTAGAAGATGACTACCACACAGGTTGTCGAAACGTCAGTCACGGTCAACAACAACATTCATATTTAGGACTACGATCACCGGGACGATCAAGGTCTACCAACTTATTGCACAAACGTCTGTTAGTCATTTTTACTGTCGCTTTATTTTATCTTAATCGGATAATTCTTGCTCTGTTTTTGTAGACCCGGAATGAGTTGAATCACCAACAAAGCGTTCAGATCCAGGCACAAAAACAACTTCTGGCGGAAAAACACAAGGAACTGTTCGAGCTCGATGCTCAAATTGACCAGCACACGGAAGAGTTGAGGCAGAAAAGGTCGCGAAACAATTTCATTAACCATAACCATAACCATGACAAAAGCTCCTCCTTACCATCCCCTCCAGGGGAGTTGGACTTCGTGGAAATGGATTATAGTCACCTTCCTAACTTTACGAAAAGGACGAACAAAAGTGACGCTGTGGATTCCAGCTCAAGTGCCCCAGTCACGTCTAGTTCCTTTCGGCCCCGTTCTCGAACCTCCAGCAAGCTAGAAACGTTACTTGAAGTTGAAGAGGAAATCTCAGATGGTCACGCAAGTAGCAGGTCTTCGACTGAGGATCTTACTGAGGGGCCTGGGCCGCCAAGGATGTCACGCGTGACCGCGCTCAAGTCACGCTTCGAGACGAACGCCGTTGAAAACCGTGGAGAGCATCGTAGGGCAGCCGATAGGCTATTAAATGGAAAGACTAATTTTACGAAAGACACTTTTACACCTGGGAAGATTTTAAATAATTCCCCCCGGCGCGTAGACCCGGAAGGAGTCGAGACACCCGAATCACCTTCCCCTGAAAGACCTGGATACGATAACTATGTAAAGGAGTTCTTGAGTAATTCGCGCTTTGAAACGAAGCCATATGACAAAGATTCAAAGACCAAACGCGATAATCGCCAACAGAGCTCGACTGTAGCTACGCATTCATTAGATATGAAACACATTTCAAGTGAACCCGATTTTCAATCTGAAACGCCATCGCTGAATTCAGGGCGGACCACGCCCAGTGACGAGGGAGACAACTCCGGGCTAAGCTCACCGTCATCGCTCTCCTCCTTCTCGTCCGCCTCTTCCAATTCCGCTTCTCCTAAGGCCGCCATGTTTGCACTTACCGGCGTTGTAAAGAAAGCCGAGAAATCTACAGACGCTCACGGGCTAGTGAAATACGAAAACGCGAACTTGGATGGCCGTGCGTCGCCTTTAGAAGATTGTCAAGAACCTCACAAAGCTAAAAATCTGGAACCGTTACAAGTCGGGCCCACAGAGGGTAGTCGCGAAGGTTTAGATGCGAGAGGGGCTTTAGGCAGCGAGTTATTTCCTCTTCATCAAATTAAGACAGAAGGGTTACCCACCAGAAACGAAAATGTGGATTCTATTGTACGGCCAACGGTGCTGGATTTCTCAAGAGCTCGGACCAAATTTAAACATGATGGCAAAACAGGTAAATCACGTGATGTAACCAGAAGTAACCATGGTGATAATAGTGATGATGGTTGTCAAAGTAATAATGTGAAAGAACCTACCTGGAAACACGTAACACCAATAAATGATACGGTTAAGACTGGCAAGATACAGTTATCTAGACTTCGGTATCAGAATGTTTCTGCAGATCAATTAAACCAGGACATTATTGGGGTATCACCAACCACGTTGAAAAGAGACGATGAAGATCAAGCTGCGAAAGAGCACAGGAAAACTCAGTCTTTATTGAACGGTGATAGAAAGGAAACTTACACAAATACCAACGCATCGAGATTGTCACAAGATGCTTCTGGCACAATTGGTTCTCTTCAGAAGAACGAACTTAGCGCATCTACTTCAAAGTTACCGCAACCTGTTAGCGTGCCAAGCTTTATTCAGAAAAAAGAAGTGGTGACTTTGTCTGGTCCTGGTTCATCAAATGTAACAGTACCATTGAGACATACAAAGAAAGCCGCTGTGTTTTCAACAGAGAACAAGATGCGAAAACCTGATCCCCCATCGAGGCTGCCAGCAAAATGCGTTGCTGAGACAGGTGAAGAAGTGATATTCTCATCTATTGAGGGTTCCGAAAATATGATAGCGACGTCTGGGGAGTCAAAACGTAAGGCTCAGTTTTCCTCCAAGAATAACCTGCTGAAAGATGAACAAAACACTTCTTCGCCGAGATTGCAGCGTAATTCTGTTAGCACAAATAGTCCTACCCAAACAGGAGACGTTTTATCTTCTTCTAGTTTGCCTTCAGTGGATTTGACCACACCTATTGAAGAGTCAAGGGAAAAGATAGAGGTTACAATGCAGGACAACATAGAAAAAACTGAAATGAACCCGTCTGAATCGAAAGTGCTATTTTGTTCTCCTAGTATGGACGGTTGTATTCCAAACGGAGAGGAAGTAGTGTCCTCTGCAAGTTCCACACCGTCAAATGTAGACAAATTATTTCACAGGCTCGGAGACGAAAAAGACGAGACCGATAACGCAAAGGTACCTGATAAAGATACTCATGTTAAACCTAGTTTTGGTCAATCACAGCTTGTTCCTTTGACTTTAAAACCGATATCCTATCGAGCAAAGAAACTAGCTGCCGAGCAGCAAGGTGATGTCACTTCGGCTAATCAATCCCACCTCGTTCCGGTCATGTCCAACTCGGTGTCCGTTCGTGGCCAATCGTCTCTCACAAGGATAACAGTTACCCCATCTGCCTCGTTTTTCTCTTCGAAAGCCACGGATGTTCCCGAGATGCGTTCGCCAGTTCCGACGAGCAAACGACCAGCCTTTATGAACCGAGACACTGGTCCTAGTTATCCCGAAGTTAAAGAGTTGCCGATGAGCAACGGTCCCGATAAGGAGATCGATCAGGTCAATAATGGTGAAAAAGAAATTGCGTCTTCAAACGGCTGGATAGACAATGACAAAACAGATCTAACTCAGCATGGGCAAAAACCAAGAAATCTTGCAGGGTCTAACGATGTGAAACAAGTTGTTTCATCTTTTAACATACGGCTGTCAAGCCGAAGTCTTAGAGCTGCGGAGACAAAAGAGGACGCAACACGTTCTCAGGAAAGCAGCGAATCCATCGCTAAATCATCCGGACTGTTAGTTACAGCATCGAAAGTTGTCGGTCCCAGAAAAATTAACTCCAGTAGCGGTTGGCTTGGTTCCGAAAATGACCGAGTAAGTTTCGAAAATGGGGGGCCATTATCTGGAAATGGTGGGTTAAATTCCGAAAGCGATCGACCGCGCTTGGTAACGGACAATCTGAATTCGGGAAGTGGCAAATCGTTAAAAATCGAAGCTTATTCCAGGACTGTGTTAAATAAAAACACCGATAAGGTGAAGGCTGGGCAAGTTAGGTTGGTGCAAAATCAAGCTGCAGATGAAAACAAAGCCTCGACTGTTAAGAAGGAAAAGACTGCATTAAAGAGTTCGTTCATATTGGGTGAAAAAAGCAGTGGTGTTGAACCCTTGGAAGGAATTCTTGTGGACAATGACTCGGAAATAAGGGGGAAAACAGAAGAGGCTTTAACAAAAAAATATTCGCCAGGAAAGGCAGCAGACGATGCAGAAGCCAATAGTTCGGGTGGGAGAGATGCAGTTGCGTATTTGAGGCAGGCAATCAAATCTGTGTCAGACCAGCTCCCTAGTGATAGTATGTTAAAACCTGCAGTTTTAAACAAAGATACCAGTTTAGCACCTATCAGTCAGTCAAGTTATCCCACCATATCAGACCAGCCACCAGACATAAACCCGTTGGTATCAAAGACAACTGAAGACACTTCACCGAGGTACGAAGTATTCTCCAAGGAAAGCGAATCCGTAAAAGAATTCCCTGAGGAAAGTCAAGGGAGTTTGCAAAAGGCGGATAGAAAAAAGAAGGCGCGGCACGTCAGCCTCGATCCACATGCAGTGCTTTTAGACGCGGCGGTTGAGGGGGAGCTGGAACTAGTCAAGCAAATTGTTGAAGAGGTGAGGAATTTACTTTGTGCCAAAATTGGTTGTGAAGTAACTGAGGAAACTAAAAAGCACATTTCTATTTTTTCAGGTTGACGAAACCATGCTAACTCGCTTCCCACTAACAGAATATTGTTAGGACTTAATGAGTAGACGCTAGCCTTATCATTGGGTAGATGCTCTTTTGTTAGTAATTCCCTCCTTCCCTTAGACTAGACATCCCAGTGGGGGCTTCCTCTTCGACGCACCCCTTCATTTTCTCCGGTGGAGTGCTCCGGCACATCCTCCCGGTAAGCTCCCTGACGGCCCTTCTGGACTATGCCAGGAATTTGTTGCTTATTTCTCTCCATATTCTTTGCCCGACGATTCTAGAACGCTTTAACATTCGTTGGTAATTTCTCCCCGCCACTGTTACCCTGCAAGCGAGCCCTCCATTTGAAGTGGTAAGCAAAACAAGCCGCAAACGAACGCGCCCCTCGCCCTCGCATCTCCTATCGTGTGCCGCCCGCACTTGACTTCTCGCGTTATTTTCCAAATGGAGAGCTTGCTCGCGGGGTACGCCACTGTCTCCACCACTTTTTACTTAGCTTTTCCTTAAGTTCTGTTTATTTACAAAGGTGGATGACCCCAGTAAGCCCAACAGCGATGGAATCACGGCTCTTCACAATGCTGTCTGCGCAGGTCACGACGAAGTGGTGAAATTTCTCGTACAATACGGTTGTGATATCAACTCTCAGGATTCACATGGGTGGTATGTAGCTTTCATTTGAAAGGTCACACTGCAAGATTTTTTCCACAGACCCAAAAGTTAGAACCACCTTGTACAGCACAATAAACAGTACCACAGGAAAGTACTGCTCAGTAACTTTCACTTGAATGGTCACACCATAGGATTTCATCCACAGACTCAAAAGTTAGAACCACCTTGTACAGCATAATAAACAGTACCACAGGAAAGTACTGCTCAGTAACTTTCACTTGAATGGTCACACCATAGGATTTCATCCACAGACTCAAAAGTTAGAACCACCTTGTACAGCACAATAAACAGTACGACAGGAAAGTAACGCTCAGTAACTTTCATTGAAAGATTTTATCCACAGACTCAAGAGTCAGCATAACAAACAGTACCACAGGTTGATACAGTAGCCTTGTTTTGGTCATGATATTATCTTTCTTTTAAATTTCAGCCAGAGAGCCAAATTGCACAGTACTGCACAGTAGCTTTCATGTGAATGGTAATGCCACAGGATTTCATTCACGGACCAAAAACGTTAGAACAACATGGCTGGCATAATTGACTCTAGAAGTGAATTAGCTTGAGTATCGGGCTTTTGGGGGGGAGGGGCAAAGAAGGGAGCAAAAAGGAGAGAGAGAGCAACCCTTCCCTCCCCCTACCCTCTAAAATCTACTCTTCCCTATCCCCTAAGGTGGGCCTAATACTCAGGCTAAGAGTGAATGGGTCAACAAATATTTAGGTTTGGGGGAAAATACCCACCTACCCCTCCCCTAAGCCAACATTTTGCCCTAAGTGAGAAGTAAGTGTTAATGTTAGCTTGGGGGAGGGGTAGGTAGGCAGTTTTCCAGAAACCTAAATTGATCCCCCTTTTTTACCCGCAGGACCGCTCTGCACTGCGCAGCCGCCAATAATGCGACAGACATTGTGCGCTTCCTTGTTGAACATGGAGCCTGTATTCTAGCCGTCACCTCGTTGGAAAAGAAAACTCCGCTTCAGTGTTGTGAGCGCGGACAGCCGGGTTACTTAAAGTGCATGTCATACTTGAACGGTAAGCATGATAGAGCATTGTGTTCAGTTATGTTGATGTGGGTTTTCAACGTTTAACTGGGACCAGTCAGGGAAAACCCAGTGGCGGATCCAGGGTAGGGGCCCAGGGGGCCTGGTACCCCCCCCCCGGCTTATTTTTAGACCAAACTGAGGCCTGAAGAGCCTTCCCGAAACAATGGGAGGATTATTGCATTTTGACTTTAACGTGAGCTGGGAGGCACCCTGGGTACCAGAGGTTTTTTCTCGCGTGCGACAAGGAGCTTCGTGAGCCGCGGGCCGACCCGTCTTGGGCCGAAGGCCGAAGACACGAGTGGCGAAGCCGCGAGAAAAAGACTTAACTGAAACCGGAAACCGCGCAGCCTCTGGCACCCAGGGTAGCTGAGAGGGAGAGTGGTGGAACAAAGTGGTGGGTTATGCCTCGTGAGTTATCAAAGTGGGTCATTTACAAGTAAGTTACTGAATCTTGAAATTTAAAGATTTCACATGCCAAAATGAAATTTCAATACTTGACATGCCAAATTTTGCAGTTTCAAGATTTAATCGGCAAAATATTGAAATTTCAAGATATGAGATGCAGAATATTGAACTTTGAAGATTTCAATCACAAACATACCTTATTTGTTGAACCACCGACTTATGTAAGGTCATCCAATTCTATTTTCTCGCTCATTCCAGAGCGGGGATGAAGTGACGGATCTTATCGATTAAGAACGCCCTTATTTGAGGCTACAATGTTTGATGTACTTTCCAAATCATTCTTTCTGTCTTATCCAGATCTGCAAGAAAACTTTGGTATCAATAACAACGGTCGCGTTCGTGCGCTGTATTCGTACTCAGCTGACGAGCAAGATGAATTGAGCTTTGAGTGCAGTGAAGAGCTAACGGTACTGAAACGAGGAGACGCGACCGAGAGGGAATGGTGGTGGGCCGAGAACATGAAGGGTGAGACTGGATACATACCAAGAAATCTGCTTGGGGTACGTAATATTAATTTAAACGCATTAATAAGGAGCTTAAGCAACGACGACGGTGACGGCAACAAGAAGGGCAAAAAAGCAATAGGTTTAGATTACCAAAACAACAACTTTGCACGTGCATCACGCTTTTTTGTGCTTTTCTTAGCCGTCGTTGCACGTGACGACTACATCGTGAAAGCGCCAAATTTCACGTTTTGTCGAGGACGGAAACACAAGACAACAACCTTCTTTTTTCTTTTCCTGAGCTTTGATACAGTCCTTTAGAATTCAACTTCAAAAACGTTTGCCAACATTTGACGAATTAAACGAGATGGAATAAGCGCAGTTAAGTTTGAGCCAGCGCCAATTCACTTTTCAAGTAACGTTTTCGTCGCTTTTGAGCTCCCTAATTAGTCCAAGAGAGCACGTGCCTGCGTCCCGAGTTACAGCATTACCATGACTTCCTTGAATATGGATTTATGTAGTGGCTTACATGTATACAGTATCAAGAAAGCCTATAGAGTGTTTTCACTCACGTGGCCAGCATGTATTCAAATTCATTGGAACAAAAGAAAGCGTTTGCATAAGAAAAGAGTTCAACTCCCACAGGATTGGTTTGGAACACTAACATTGCCGCCGTTTCATTGTTTTGGGACACCAATATGGCCGCCGTAACGTCATGTTACAACACTCTATACCAAAATTAGTTGAAAATTTCAGTCAGTAAGTAGACTACAAAACAGTCGGTTTTTTCCTCCAAATCAGTAAAGAAATCGGTAACGCGTGGCGTAAGAGTCTTATGCGCGCGAACCGCGCGAGCCTCCCCAGTCTCGCTCTCTGTTTTCAGCCTCGTTCCACACCTTTTGTTTGACTGCTCGCGCGTACTTGAATACGCAAAAATACGGACTGTTTTGCAGTCTAGTCAGTAAGTATCAAGTTAAATGTATCTTACCACTCTCCTATTTGCAGTCTCACGCCAGAGTTTCACCAGTGGTGTAATCAGCGACCCACTCAAGGACAAACAGGGTGTAAGCTAAATGGGGTTCGGTCATTTTGCTTTGGATTGTCGTACGGGTGACTGGGCGAGCCCACGCGAAAATCCCCGGCACTGGGGCCGATTGTCTCGCGCGTTCTGTGGTTACTCGCGTGACTATCCTTGGATACTGGTGAGCCACAAGCAGAACATCAACCAGTCCACCTCCAGGAAACAGCTCTTAATGCTACATTCACACGGCGCCGGATGAGTTTTCGACCGGCTTTAAAATTCAGTGAAACGCTTTGTTCACAAGGGACTGTTGAATATTTTCGCTCCGTTCACACGGAAATTTTAACGGCTAGGTGTCTAAATTTCGTACGGTTAGCGTGGTTCTGTGTGAACGCAGGAATTTTCAACCGGTCGTAAATTCGACCTGTAGCGTGTGAACGTAGCCTAATTGCTGCTTTTTCTTGGCGTCGCTGCTATCTGATATCACTTTGTTTGTTGTCCAGGCCCCGATTAATCAAAAGGAGGATAGCCTTATCCACCGGATAAATTACTATCCACTGGATAACGCAATTTGTTTCCCTAAGACTTATCCGTCGGATAGTGATTTGTCCGGTGGATGGCGCTATCTAACTTTTGAACAACTGGGGCCAGGGGCCCGTTTCTCGAAAGTCCCGATAATTAACGGGCCCGGTAAGCTGTCTCCGTTTGCATTAAAGATCGAGGTTTCAATAGTTTTGCATCCAACATGATAAAACTGTCAGTTAATGAAACAAAATGGAGTAGTTTGCTAGCCAGGACCCGCGCTCTTATTCTTTATATTTCGATTTGAATATTTGTTTTCGGGCCCGTAAAGTTACCGGGACTTTCGAGAAACGGGCCCCAGGCCCCGATTAATCAAAAGGTGGATAGCGATATCCATCTTTTGAACAACTAGCGTCAGGACTTTTCACCTGTCTTAAATGTAACATGACACTCCAACCGAAGGTGCCACACGGACAGAGATGAGTCTGGGAACTCGCCTATCCTTTCTTCGAAAATAGCGATTCAGAAACAAAGAATTTGTTCTCTAACAGAGTTTAACGACGAGGATTACATGTCTCCCGATTTTATGCACCCAATACAGCAAAACAGTCGGTTCTCCACGAAAAGTGCGAGACGAACTTGTTTACACGCGCTTTAGGCCGTTAAGGCGTTGACCATTCGTTTCGATAGATTTGCATAAAAATCTTGCAGATTCATGTTAGCCTGCAAGCGGACTAACTTTGAGTGTCAATTTACTACAGTAGACAGTATTAATATATTTATTAAGTAAAATCAGAGAGGGGCAAAGACGCTTTTGATTGAGTCAAAGAAATTATATTTACAGATGTAAATCTAGTTATTTATTTTTTATTTGAAAGAGTAGAAAGTAAGGTGAGAGTTTACAGGCTCATATACTATAGAAAGAGATGTTTACTGCTCACAGTTACGTTGTACTAAGAAAGACTTAAAGTTGTAGGCAGATTATTTTTAAAATCCTGTAATATATAAAAAGGTTAATCCGAAAATACATATTTAAATTAATTATATCAGTATGTCACCAGAAATAATATAAAGTGAGACTTTTTAAAGTCATGAAAAATGAAAGGTACTTTGCAATTTATGGGTTTCTAAGAAACAATGATTATGTTATTAATTATGGGTAACTTTAAAAAGGAAAACCTATCTAGTAGTGAATTAAACTGCTTTTGTTTTTACATAAAGGTTGGTTATTTTTTTCACACCATTTAAAATTCTATATTTGTCCGTTGAGAGAAGAGACGGTTGAATCATCCAAGAGTTAATTTTGCCGACTTGTCCAGGAAACTGATGCCGCAGCTCAAATTGATAAAGTTATTCTTCCTTTTCAACCAGTATTGAAAACATTTTGGAAAGTTTTATTTACATCAAAACAACTTGTTGGCACGTGCTGAAACGTACTCCCGCACACGCGCTTTTTACTCCAATTTGACAGACGCACGCCTTCTTTGGGAAATGTTAAAAATGGAAACCAGAGCGGCAACCATTGCTTATAGTAAAAAGAAAGCTAAAGCGACCACTAATAGAGAATTGGAAATTAGGAGACAGCTCGAAATTCTGGACCGCAATATTTGCGACAACTTTAACTCTCCCAATATCGCGCACATCCTAAATGAATATGAAGATCTCAAAATGGAACTCCAATCTATTTATGAGGAGAAAGGGAGGGCAGCTATTTTTAGATCGAAATGTCGATGGGTCGAAAAGGGCGAACGTCCAACAAAGTACTTTTTCAATCTGGAGAAAAGAAACTACAACAGTACATTCTATACAAAAATTGAGAGCGCGGCGATAAACAATGGTTTCATGACCAACTGGTTTAGACCGTCAAGAGGATTGCGACAGGGGTGTCCCCTTTCTCCGTACTTATTTGTGCTTTCCACGGGGATATTATCCAGCAAAATCAGACAAGAACCAAGTATAACAGGAATCAAAATATTCGGGCACGAAATCAAATTGAGCCAATTCGCAGACGACACAAACCTTTTCTGTGCAGATTTGATCTCCGTTGAAAATGCTTTGAAAACGGTGGGAGATTTTGGGAGGCTAGCGGGTCTCAAGTTAAACATAAAGAAATCGAAAGCAATTTGGTTGGGAAAATGGGAAAAAAACAAAAGTTATCCTTTACAACTAAAATGGTTACATAGTCCGGCTCGCCTCTTAGGAATTCATGTCTCTTATGATGAGAAGGGTAACAATGAATTGAACTTTAATCTGAAAATACGAAAACTTCAAACAAAGCTGGATATGTGGAGATCTAGAGACCTCACACTATTTGGGAAGGTACTGATAATTAAGTCCCTAGGATTGTCACAATTAATTTATTCAGCTTCAATTCTTAATGTTCCCGAAGATATCGCAAGCACAGTGAAAACAAAGTTTTTTAGTTTCTTATGGAAAAACAAAAGGGATAAAATTAAACGAACTGGGCTCTATCAGGATCTGGGAAGAGGCGGAATACGTATGGTAGACATCGACATAATGTTTAAAGCTCTAAAACTAGCCTGGATTCCAAGATTACTGACTCCAGGGAACCAGAATTGGAAAACAGTTCCTGATTATTACCTAAGAAAATTCGGAGGTTTGAACTTTTTACTGAGATGTAACTACGATGCGAAATACATAAAATCTATTCCATTGTTTTACCGAAATATTCTAGTATACTTCAGTGAATTAAAAACTCTGTACAGCTTTGATCAAGCACAAAATATAATTCTATTCAACAACAAAGAATACTTGTTGACAGTAAAACCTTTTTATCAGGGAATGGTTTAAAAAGGTATCCTGTCAATACAAGATCTCTTACACAATACCGGTCAACCGATGACCTATCAGGAATTTACGAATAAGTATTCCTGTAAAACTAACTTCCTTCAATACTATCAAGTTATTAGCGCTATCCCAAAGCACCTATTAGCCAAAGCAAAATCAACGAAGCCAATTAATAAAGAGTTATATTCTGATAATAATCTTAGTCTACAATTAAATGAATCGATAACTCTATATCTGAACAAAATCAAGACTAGCGACTTCTATACGTTATTATGCACAAAAATCCACGCAACAGGTCATTCTGGGCCACAGAGATAGAGCAAAGATCTTTCCTTGGATGAAGATAAATGGGAAAAAATATTCACCTCCCTAAAAACCGTCTGTAGAGAGACCAAATTAAAGGAATTTCAATATAAATTAATCCACCGAATTGTAGTCACCAAAAAGGAACTTTACCGCTATGGAATCAAGGAAGATGATGAATGTATATATTGTGGTGAAAAAGACTCTATTAATCATACTTTTAGAGATTGTCATTTCGTCAAGATTTTCATTCAACGGGTTATCAACTGGTTCAATATAGAAAACAAGATCAATCTCAACCCATCTAGCGAAGAAAGACTGTTCGGCATCCTCTCGGACTTACATGAAAAGGTACTAGTAAGGAAATTCAATTATACCATGTTGTTTATGAGATACTACATCTACGCCAACAAACTACACAACAAACCAATTCTCCTCCAAGACTTCGTTGGTAAAATGATAATTAAATACAGAATTGAAAAGCTATAAAATAGACATGAAAAGTAACTCCTCTGACCTTTTTTTTTTTTTTTTTTTGTGTGTGTGTGTGTGTTTGTGGGGGGTGTGTGTGTGTGTGATGTACTAGAATTGTAAGTAGTGTAACCATTGTAATTATTAGTAGTACGAGCATCGTATGGATGGTATTGTCAGTATAGCCAATATTGTAAATAGTGCAAGTATAGTGAATATTGTTAGTAGTATTTAGTTTCAGTAGTGTTTAGTACTGTAAACATTTAATATATGTCTGTAAGGCAAAAAAAAATTTAAAAAAAAAAAAAAAAAAAAAACTTGTTGGCACGTGCGCAAAAAACACCATGCCGCACGTGCCAACGGGACAGCATTCAGCGCGTGCGTTTAAAAAGTTTACTGATATTTTGCAGTTGTATTTGTTTTTCTCTTTATTTAGCAAAACATTCCTGCGTTAGCATTGCGATGAATTCTCGCAACTTAAAAAAGGGAGAAATGCCTGAGGCCACCACTACTTAGCTACAAACTCAACATTTTCAATAATTTACCACGTTCGATAGACGAAAAAAACATTGAACGAATGAAGCTTGGGTTATTTCCCTTCCATATATAACCGAGTTTTATTATCGAAACGCTGACCGTTCTGTACAAAGTAGCGGCTTCTGTTACTGTTCATTTTGTGCTTCCTTCTGCTTTTTCCAAAGCCTGGCCATTTGGAGAAGTTTAAAGTTCGGCATGCTTGCCTCGTCGTCGGGGAAAATGTAGTCGTAGTATTCTTCCCAGCCGGCGTCAGACTGCAAACGAAACAGAGAAAGTTTACTCCTCAAAAGAAGGTGGTAGTTCGGTATCCGGTATCTTTCAAACGATAAAGATTATCCTCTGACGAAATTACAAGGGTTTATTTAGCTCAGTCGTCCAATAAATTTGTGAAGACCGGAAGGGGCCGAGCAACAAAGAACCGTGTGGAAATTAGCCTGCGAGCAAGCTCTCTATTTTGCACGAAGTCACGCGAGAGCGCGAAATTTCTCGCGGTTCGCTTCTCTCGCCACTCGAAATGGACAGCTTGCTCGAGGGCTAGTGAAAAACAAGCAAACTGAAATGAAACTATATCCCCTACCCCGTCGTCTGTTTGGACTTTCCTTCGTTTCTTTACTCGCCGAGGCATCTTCTTCTTAATTCTTTCTTGTGAGGTGTCGTTTCCGTGTTCAGTCTGAAACAACAAGACAGCATTTGACTAAAAATAAAGGAGCCAGTGTCCCACCGACTCAGTATGGCTGCGTCTCAGTACCGCGGTCGTTTCGATACAAACTCGAGCGCTGAAACTGGACAAAAATTTCGATCACTTCAAGTATAGCTTGCGTGTGAACAGGAAAACGTTTTGGGTGAATATTCTTCGTTCCTTAAGCCAAGTAGGTGAAACAATTTACAAGTCGACTGAATAAAGTTGTATCGAAACGACCAATAGTCCTGCGTTGGAGGCAGCTTGAAGGCCGATACACACGAGGGGTTTTGCTCCCGGAGCATGCTCCAAGCTCATTTTGCAAGTGTCAGTAGACACGAGGGAGCGTTTTCAAGTTCGCTCAATTTGCTCCGGGAGCTTGATCCCAAATATTTAACCGCTTGAATATCGTGGAACATTTTGTAGGGTGGAAATTCTGCTCCTGAGGATGAAGTATACCCACGAAATCGTTGGTACACACGGAGGAGCATGCTCCGGGAGCAAAATCCCTCGTGTGTATCGGCCTTGACAGGCGCTCGAAATAAAAACAGAAGGTCAGACGCGCGCGAACGTGAGAGGCGCGCGAGAGAGGCAATAGGTGGCACAAGGGCATAGGACAAAGATGAAATACCTCGAACTCTTTCCACGCTTCTAACAGCATGACCCGCTCTTCTTTTTCTTCTACATTTCTAAGCGACTTGTCAGCACGTTCATAAACACTCCTGAAGAAAAAAGAAGGGTTCAGGAAAAGATTATAGCTCTTGAAAAACTAGACACATAATTTCAAGAATGATTGGCAAAGCGCGCGCTCCTGATCTCTGCTGGCGGGCAAGAAGATTAACTGGAAAACCTCGGCATCGCTGGATCGTTCCAACGATCTCTGGGACGATTCAGAAGATCGAGACGATTAGGGCCGAGTTGTTTGAAGTTCGGCTACCTCTAACCTGGGATCTGAGTTGTCAGGGTAACTAACCCTGGACTTAACGTAATCATATTTCGAGCGAGCAACCCAGGCCACGGACGACTGTACGAAAACCAGGCTGAAGATTTCAAAAACCCCTGCTCTGCTCTACCACAAGGCCGTCTGAACAATTTAATCGGTCAGCGTTTTATACCCGGTACTGATTCACGGCAGGCAATAAGGTTGACAGTGTTATCACTTAAACAACTCCAAACAACTGTATAGCGACGATGCACAAGTCAAGACGAATTACAATTTCTTTCATCAACAAACCTTGCTTGTTCCATGCTTTCATCTGTTCCTGTTGAGGCCTCAAACTGTGCAAAGCTTATCCACACCTGAAAAGAGAAATGAGGGAACTGAGAAGGTCCCGCATAGCTCGCCCCAACTCCCCCCTCGGTCACCCCAATATTCAAGATGGCGACTAAATACTGGAAAGTTTATTACGGGTTTATTTAGCGTTTGCTCGTGGGAATACACCTTCAATGAAACTTTACTTCACAAATACACTCTCCTGTGCGAGATTTTAAAAAAATTATGCGTCAGATTTGACGGGAGGCGCAAAAATCACCCTCGGTGCAGCTAGTACTCTCGAAGACTCGCTCCGCGCCCTCGATTCACCATCGCGGAGGTTTCCCACAAAGTGTATTTTCGTTCGGGTTAGATTTTGAACGAATTTTTAAGGGAGTCCCACGGAATTTACAAACGCTGGCGAAAAGTTAACACGGTCCATACCTTCACATGCTGTGTTCTTGTTAGAAGTCTTTCATACAAATCTCGGGTTTTGTCGTATTCCTCCAAGTTTATTTCGAAATCTATGTAAGCTTTCCACAAAACCTGCCAAGGAAAGAAAATCAGGATTTAACTCAACACCTAAAAAGTATTAAAATGTTAAGTGTCAAAGATATGCAATGTTTTTAGAAACTATTATAAGCTGTCATGTGTGTGAAGATCGAAAGGACATACCACGTAAGTGCTCATGTACGATCAGTCAAAAAACTATTTTATTGAAAGGAAGAAATCCTTCAGTTTTTTTCTAACGGATGGAGGAATCCGAAAAAAAATCTGTCGAATTAACGGTGAAGAATTAAAAACAAACAAAAAAAGAGGAGGAAAAAAAAAATGCCGAGACCAGGATTCGAACCTGGGTTACTGCGGCCACAACGCAGTGTCCTAACCACTAGACGATCACGGCTGCTCAACATCCAAGGGGTGAAAAAATATTATTTAAACTAAGAGTAAACGTCATTTCCGGTCATTGCTAGTTCGCCCGCCTTTGCAATTCTACTTCCTCTTTAACACTCCAACGATAGAACAAAACCTACTTGATACTGGAAAAAAAATATTTTAGCCAATATTAGACTAAAACAAAGTTTTCTGATTGTTTTAGTCCCAAAAAAATTTCAAGAAAACTAATTCCAATTCAAATATAAATGCCTCCTTGAAACGTCTTGGGGAGAAATTTTTTAAATGCATTCGTAGACTGATTTCAGCGTCTTTTCAAGTCATTTCGTTGTGGTACGTTATTAACCTTATATACCGATTTAACAAGTTAAGGATGCTATAAGTTTAATAGATACAACATAATATTCTCTTTAAGACAGAAAAGTAAGTTATTAGAGCGCACTCGCGGCAAATCGCCTCCGCGTTTGAAGTAACGGGACGCTCGGTGATTCTCAACGGCGTCTCACAGAGGAAGGTGATTTTAAAGAAGGTTCGTAGGGATTTCAAAAAAACTGAGACCCTCTATTATTTACCTCTGGCATGTCCAACAGCGGTTGATTGACAGCTAGCTCAAAAAGGGCCCGGGCTCTGTCGGTATCACCGAGAATGGTCTCCAGTTCTGCGTACTTAAGGGGAAGGCAAGCAACAACAATTTATTGTTCGTTTCGCTGATCAATCGCTAACCTGAGATCAGGCTCTATTTTCGTTTCGCTTTGAAAATTACATTAGCTTGCGGGCAAGGCGAAACGAAAAGAGATTTCCCAATTTCAGCGGTAGCCGTTAGAAAGAATGTATGAGAACCGCTCAAATTGGGCCTGATCTCAGGTTAATCAATCGCTTAACTGAATTAAGAAGCATTCACACTTGTAATTTGAGGAGTTGTGGTGGAGATTGTACAAAATTAATATTGGGTATCTTAGGGAACTTTAAGATGATCTTCTTGTCCCGGGGGGGTACTTTAGGAATTTTTGGGTAGGGGTGTGCCGCTGGACCCTGGATCCCTGAGCCTATACCAGAGCTAGTCCAGCTGAAATTTACTAACCTTTTCTAGGCTAAACTCCCTAAATATCCCCTTATCCTAGAGTAGCGTTTAGGCTGAGTTGCGTAAATACAAATTTGCCGATTTGACTTTTTTATATTTTTTTGAGTGGCAATTCCGGGTTTCCCTAGTCTACACTAAAATCTTCAACCAATTGTTCAGTTTCCTGGAAAATGATATCCTATTCTAGACTTAAACTCTCTGATTTATACACCCTATCCCAGAGTGAACTGCTTGAAAACCATACCCTTCACAGCGGCACATACATATATAGCCCATATATGACAGTACCCCCCCCCCCCCGGGGTTCTTGTAAGGGTGATTACGGATTTGTCTTCAAAGGTAGGGATTGTGACAAACCTTGACATTTGGAACCTGAGGGTGGTTTTAACATATGATTTGGAAAACTAAATCAGAGCTAATGACCATTTTATAACAAAGCTACCGAGCGATATTTTAAGCTTCGTGTGGTACTGTTTTGAAAACTGCTGATGAGTTTTTGGCTTAAATCATTTTAAATGTTATTTATTAAATATGACAAAAAAGCGTTGTTTACCTTCACCCACGTGGTGCAGTTGGCAGAGTTGAACTCGAGAAATTTCTCGTACAACTTACGACAGCGGTCGAACTCACGAAGCTGTAAAATAATTAGACATAATTACGAGTCATGAGATCTTCAAAACACAAGAGGCTGATTGCTATTAGACTTTTTCCGAGTTGCTTCAATCCTCTGTTTCAAAGCGAGTCAAAGTGCGAAGCTGTTGATATGAAAATGTTTTTTTCCTGTTTACCTTAAACTTGTCCAAAATGATGACCAACATAAAATGTTAGAAGAACGGCAGTTTTAATTCTACTAACCTGTAACTCAAGTCCAATGTATTCTCGAAAGAGTCTGTCCTTTGGACATTTACCAATTGCAGTGCCCTAGAAACAGAGGAAAATAAATTTTAGTTTCCAGGTAGCAAGACGTTCTGCATTCTGCACTCAGTACAGTGTCAGTAGTCTTTTTGTTCATGGTGCTAACACCTTTCTGCTACTAACACCTTTCGGCGATGATGCTCACCTCAAATGTTTTGCATATAAAACCAATTCAAGTCTTGTTGGTTTTTAAAACAACAGAACAATAAACTGTAAGGCTCGGATTATGAGGTAAATCCCGCTTTATCAATCCATATATTCAGAATTTAAAGTATGGTTTCTGGTCGCTATGTCGAGCTATGAGTGATGGTGATCGACATATTCATCCCTGAAAATGCTTCTTCTTTATTTAATCTGTTGCCTCTAAGTACTGTCTGTTCGACTTACCAACGCCTGTCGAGCTGCTTTGAGATCTTTTTGGCGAATTTCAAACTGGGCATACAACAGCCACACTTTGCCAAAGGTAAACTGCAAAAAAAGACGAAAACTTTGTTCACTAAGGGGAGAAATGTCTACACTAATATTGTAAGCTACCGCAGGAGAAGAAACCACTGTAACCTTGAAACATTTATTTTAACCATACTCGTGAACAAGAATTGTATAGTTACATATAATTTAGGACAACACTCATAATGCATTAAGATGTTATTTGTCTTACAAATCGCACTACACCTTTTTGTGTGGTATTAGATCCAAGCAAGCCCGATAGACCTGCCTTGTACGTTCCATGTCCTACAAAACAAAAACGATAAATTAGGAATTTAACAAATTTTTACAATTTTTTTTCTAAATACTGCATGTCAGCCAGTGGCTGGAGTTGCTACTGTAAAAGCGTAATGCCTGAACCGTTTGTGTTTCAAACGGCGAACTTCACATCTGCTGAATTCAATGCTACGCTGTAAAGAGGAGAATTTATTTTTCGCGCAAATTTATATTAGATTCGGCACATGCAAAGTTCGACGTTTGAAACGATCCATAGCAAACGGTCAAACACAAGATTTCTGCCCACGTTGGACTGTGAGCAGTCTCTGTTTTTCTTTAGTTTTAGTGAGGGGAGTCGAGACGAAAGAAAACAGGGTGGCAGTGCGAGAAGAAAAAAATTTTGTCTCGTGTATTTCGACCCTCTCTCATCTCGCGCCTTCAGTCACGCGCGTTTCGTGTCTCGCGCGTTCTGCTCGACGGACTAAGAAAAAAGAGAGACTGGCTGCCCGTGGTCCATGTTCACCTTGGCAATAAGCTCTTCGTATAGAGCATAGTTAATCCACAGGTAGATGTATCGCCTCCACAGTCGCTTTTCCTCAGCAGGGGGGACATTTGCTATTGCTCTTTCATACACTTCCCGTACAGCGTCTGGCTCTGCTTCGCTCTCCATCAAACGCAGGTAGTCAAACCATGCGTCGTAATTGCTTGGGTTAGTTTTCACTTCCTGAAAAATACAAGAGATACATATTAATTTCAAAACTTTGAGTGCATGAAATTCTGGAAGCTCATTGGCTGGCTATAGCACGTTTTGCATAAGCATTGTTTTCAGTTTCTCTTGGGGCCATTTTAACTCCCAAGAGAAATTGAAAACAATGCTTATGTAAAATTTTGGGGTGACAAAAAAAGAACATTATCAAAAGTAGGTTGAGTTTGATCGTCCGGGTGAACATAGTCCTGAATAGGACTGTTGTTGTTGACAGTGACTGACATTTCATTATGGTATGTTATGTATGTTATGTTGTTTTCTGGAGTGGTTAATTGACCGATATTGCACCATTTTTGTGTGCAATTGACTTCCACCAACACCCCAGTTCCTACCCCAAAGTTTAAAAAAAAAACTAACTAAAGAAACTGCATTGTATTTAAATGTCTAGGTCATTCTACAATCAGAACTCAACTCCACTCACATCATTCTCTTACCATTCAATAAATATTCCAAGGTAAAAACTAGAAGTTAGAGCTAAACTATTTTCAGAAACAGAAAGAGTATGCTTAGTTCAGTGACAATAACAATTTTCAGGCCTGTGCTACTCAATGGAGGGTATTTTTGCTGGGTAAGGGTCCGGGGGGTACTGCCATATATGGGCTATATGGGTATGTGCCGCTGTGAAGGGTATGGTTTTCAAGCAGTTTACTCTAGGATAGGTTATATAAATCAGAGCGTTTGGGTCTAGAATAGGGTATCATTTTTCAGGAAACTGATCAGTTGGTTGAAGATTTTATCTAGACTGGGGAAACAGCTACTCTAGGATAGGGGGGATTTTGAAAGTTTACTCTAGTATAGGGTAGCAAAATTCAGCTGAACTAGCTCTGGTATAGGTCAAGGGTTCCAGGGTCCAAGCGGCACATCCCCACCCAGAAATTCCTAAAGTGCCCCCCCGGGGTAAGGGTTAACCTTGCAACAGGTCTATTACACATACCTCCTCATACTGGAACTTCCTCTTACTGACTATCACATCCTCTATCCCTCCTTTGTCACCATACTTTTTCTCATGTTGAGTGTATGCCTTGTAGAGCTCCTAAAAATTACGGGAAATAAATTTCGAGCTCTGTTATGGGCCCAATCACCTTATAATCAATAAAAAGTGGCTCATATCCAGAGGTTCACAAGGTCTTGACTTGTAGGCTTGTAATTCCATTTGCCATACAGAGTGTAACAGCTGCTACTGTTTCTAGGTTATATCAAAAGGTTACAGGCAATTTATATGACAAGTCAAGCAAGACTTGCTGCCCAAACCCAAAAGAGTGGTTTCAATAATTGTGAACTTGGTGCTAACTTAACCGCAAACCAACAGAAGACAATACCAAGCAGGAGAAATTAATGTATGCATGCAAGCGATAAGTGAAATTGCAATCTATACTTCTCAAACTCATTAATAATTCATTAAGAAAATACAAAGGAAATTAATGTTTAATGAGTGTTTGGAAATCGGATGAAACACTGCTTAGTATTTGCATCCTTAATTTCTCCTTCAAAAATGATTTTATTTGAGAAGAAATATCAAACATTCGACACAGTGTTTCATCACCAGATGAAACACCTCGAAGTTCGTCAAAATTACTCCGCTGCGCGTCGTATTTTCAACTCTCTTCTTGGTGTTTCATCTGGTGATGAAACACTGCATCTCATGTTTGATATATTAAGTGAAAGGTCTCACAATAACTTTGGTCTCACTCTTGACAAACCAGTGAAATATTTTTAGCTCATTAAAGAGCACAGAGTGATGTAAAACTTTAAGGGTACATTATTCTTCCTAATATAAAATTAAAAGATCTGTGGAACTTACTTGGCACTCCTCCTTTGGAAGTATTTTAAGTGCATACTGAAAAATCACTCTTACACGATCATGCTATGGAATGAAGCACAAATAAAGACACTTAGACCCCTTCAGTTTGGAAGCAAGTTTCTTGTATTTGTTTAAAGTACTGTTTACACTGTACATGGATTACAGCTCTTACCTCTTTACAATTTTCTTCAAACTTTCCAAATGCAAGAAACAGCTTCTCATCAGCATTTTCCTCTCCAAAGAATTCCACAGCCCTTTCATAGATATCCCTTGCACCAACTACAGAGGGAATATAATAATATATAACACTTTTATACAGTAAAGAACTCTACCTTAAAGGAAAATATCTTGAGGGATCTACAAAACACACTTACAATGTGCACACTTTATTTTACCAAAAGTGTAGTGAGGTTCCCCTCTGGAGGGAGGGGTACTCCATAAAATGGCCTATACAAGGAGGCTCCGCCCGTAAGGGGTACCTTTTTCAGGCTTCAGGTATACGAAATGGCAGGGATTCTACTACTTGAAGTGTATGAAAGGGTAGGGAAATTTGTCGTTGGGGTGTGTGAATGGATCAAAAAGGGCTAACAGGAGATATTTAAGGCTGTGAAAAAGACAAGAAACTTTCTGGTTATGTGATTTGACAGTGTATTTACAGCAGTTAAAGAAGATGCAACACTGTAAACTAGTTTGTGAAGGGGGTGCCATTTGTCTGAAAGGTATACAAAAGGGAGTACATTTTCTGTCAAAAACAGTATAAAAATTGGGTAAGGGGTTGGACCACAGGGTGGAGCCTCCCTATATAAAATTTTGTAGAGTAACCTTCCCCCTCCCCCACTCTGACGGGGTTTCCTTTTTGTACTCCATACCTATATTTGACTGGCGCTCTTCAAACTTGGCGTACTTGACCCAGTTTTTAACTTCAGGATGCACCATTACATATCTCTCATATATATTTCTGGCCCGGTCAGTCTCTTTGTATCGTAGTTCCATGTTAATATATGAGTGCCATGCCTGTTCGTCAGGTTCCCATTCCATCCAGCGTTCAAAGATCTGCCGTGCACCAGCCACATTACTTAGCATCTCTTCCATGTAGGTGTATTTGTACCTGACAGAGGCATAGATTGACAAAAAAAATTCCTTTTTTGACTGGAAAAAAGTTCCATGCAAAAGAACTGGTGAAAAGTGACAAAAAATACTTGAGACAAGGCATTTATTTGAGTGAACTCTCCTCCCCCAATTTTCCAGTTTTTTAATTAGTTTAATTTATTTTTAGAGTTTTAAATCAATATGAACAGATTCCAAAAGACAATCTTTTTTTCTTTCCTGATGGAATATGTTGTAATTAATTTTTTATCTCAAGTACATTCTTATTTTTCATTTGTTTTAACTTCATTAGCATACATTTATCATTCCCCAAAAAAAAGAAAAACAAAAATTACCCGAGATCAAAATTAACAACAACAAATATGTTTCTTGCATGAATAAAAACAATTTCTTCCCCTTTTGTTTAGCTATCTTACATTTAATTTATCAATTTTTTTTTCAGTGCATTGTTTACTGCTTTTTGTTTCTGTTGTATTTAGAAATATTCTTTGTTTATGTAAAGCAAATAAATAATTGACAAAAAAAAGAAAAGACCTGATAATTAAGATGCTTCATTTTCAAAGAAGAGTCAAACTTAAAGGTTTTGTCCACAAACCCAAATGCAGAAATCACCATAGTTACAGCCTGGTATTCAGGGTAAAGTTCTTAGGTAATTTCAACACTTACAAAATGTAAATTTAATATTGCCTGAACTGAATTGGCTGAAATTACTATTTTAGGTAGACTTTAACACATTGTGAATTGGGAGTTTGGGATTATAATAAGATTTAATTAAACAAAAATAAATATCTCACTTACCAAAATTGGTTCACTCTGGGTAATATGGTGACAGCTCTGTCCCATATGTTTCGAGCATGGTTGATTTGCCGATGCCTGTGGAGATAATGGAACCACAACAAATGAGCATCAACAACATTCACGGGGATATTTTTACAACCTGTAAGTTTACAGACTTTTTTCAGGGGTCCGGTATTAGAGTAGTACCATTAGGAGGTTTAAGGAACAGTCTCTACTCTAGATTGATATAGAAATTACATCTTTAAAATAATTATGCAAGCAACAGAATTCAAGGTTATATTCTATGATATTACAACTTGTACATATGAGTAACACCTACTTCATTTCCATTTCTGCATATTTCAGCCAAATAGTGATGTTTCTGTGATCTACATCAAGAGCTCTTTCATAGATGGACCGAGCTCTAAAACAAAAAAAGAGAGAAAAAAACAATAGTAATATCAAACGCACAATACCAAAGAGGCTGAAAATACAGCCAGTTAACCTCTGTCTTCACAAATTTCTTTTCGGCAGGAATAAAATGATCAGATATTGAGATTGAAAAGGCATATCTTGTGCTGTATGGAACAACTGGGAGTAAAAGACTTTTAATTGTGTTTACAGCATCATACCTTTGTATTTCTCGTTGACTTTCTTCCCACTGTGCATACTTTAACCAGTTACTGATTACTGATCTGTTTTTACGGAGACTGTCCTCAAAAGCCTGTCAACAGAAAGAAAATGAGGATGATGGTGAACTCGTGAAAGAATTAGGATTAGCATTTAGCAAAAACACCACAGATTCAGTGATAATAATAAATAATTATTACTTATTTTATATGCTGTAATTACTCTTAACCAAAGCAGAATTTACATTATTTTCGAAAGAGAACCTTTCTTTTACGAAGCTTGTATTCCTGCAGCTCATCTGGATCACTGATCTTCTGTTTTGGAGGCTGAAAAAGAAAGTATTTGTATTTGGTTAGGTATGTATACCAAGCGACAACTAAATTAAACAGTGTGTTGACTTCCTAACAAAATCTATCTGTTTTGCACTTATGACTAAGCTCTTCTTTTAACTTCTGTCAATTCATGTTTAAACAAAGAGACAAAAAAGAATGCTACTGTGGATCAAAGTTTCACACAATTCCCAATTCTATAGAGTGTTTTCACTCACGTGGCCATCATCTATGAAAATTTATTGGAACAAAAGAAAGCGTTTGCATAAGAAAAGAGTTCAACTCCCACAGGACTGGTTTGGGACACCAACATGGTCACCATTTCATTGTTTTGGGACACCAATATGGCCGCCGTGATGTCATGTGAAAACACTCTATAATATGGACACCTTTGGAGTCAATATTGAGGATGTTTGACTGTAATACAGGCACCTATAATGTGGTGTACTGTGAATACTTGGCTATGTCCCTTTTTTTTGGTGTCTGCATTAAACAGGTTTGGCTGTAACTGATACAGACACCTTTGTATTGTGTCCAGACCATAGGCTCTTTCCCTTTGGTGCCCATATTAAGAACGTTTGACTGCAGGTACTTTTTTGCCTTGAGGTAGGTAAAGGCGTACATGACCGCGAGCTAAAGGCCCACACGGCCGGAGCTTATACCGGTTTCCAAAGTATAAAGCAATTCTAGGAGTATTGCTACTCCCCCCTGGATGGGATGCTGGTCCATACCAGGGTTACCCCCCAGCAGTATTTTGCCGTACCCATTTATACACCTGGGTGAAAAGAGACAAAGTGGAGAGTTCCTTGTCTAAGGAAACAACACGACAGGCGAGGCCTGAACCCTGGTGGTGTACTGTGAACACTTGGCCATGTCCCTTTGCTGTCTGCATTAAACAGGTTTGACTGCAACTGATTCAGACACCTTTGTATTGTGGACCAGTGGCTCTTTCCTTTTGGTGCTCGTGTTAAGAAGGTTTTACTGCAGGTACTTTTTACCTTGCACAGCACATTATTTCTTGGTACTCTTTAACATAATTTCCTTACTGGAGGAACTAATTCCAGCTGTCTTTCCTTTGCCTCCCTCAACAGCTGTTCTGCTGTGATCTGAACTGGGGCCGGTGCCTTGTTCTTAACCTTGATAGAAACAATACAAAAGAGAAATAAAAAATTGATCATAAGTGATGACGACTAGTCTCGAAGAATAGTATTAACTAATATAAAATCCAACAATGGGAGCGATCAGAGGTCGTACTCCGCGATCGGTGTCAAAAATATAAGCTTACGAAATTATAGTTTAGCTTAAACTTATATGTAGTACTACAATATTATCAGGCTAATAGCTCGTCAGACTTTCGAATTTTAATTAAACTTAAAGTTTACTTTTTAAAATTTCTTCATCCAGTAAAATCCTGCTAATTTTTAGCTGACTTTGGGAAACTTAAAGCAAGATTAAGTAATCAGTAAAGTAAAATAAAAGAAAATTTGTTCTTAAATCAAACCCTCGTGCACAAAATCTTTCTCTCGACCTTTGAAAAAGAAATCGTCCCGTTTTACGTCGCGTAAGAATCAGAAAGTTTACCAACCTTTGCCACTTTTGGGATCCTGGCCTTATTTGTACTCTGTTCAGAAGACGCCATGTTCTTTCTTGTTCACGAATTCACGCAGAAATATTGGCAAAAACCGTTTACGCTTGTTCAAAGTTTTTGCTTCCACTCATCCGACATTTTGGAAACGTTTTAGTGCCCAGTCTTTTCTTCTTGTTTGTGAAATTGTCACGCATATAAGGTATTGTGTGACAAAACCGTGAATAAGACTGAGGCCGAGGACTGCCTGCGTTACAAAGCGTAGCAGGCGTCGAAACGGGTAGGGGACAGGCGGTGTTGGACACGGTCCGAAGGGCATCATGGGGAAAAAATAAAAAACGGTTCATTTGCATCTGACCTTCGCTTTGTTCACATCTCTCGTTACGCCATAAAAATACCGGGAGAAATAGTGTGATATGGGCATTACAGCTCTTCTTCCGCTTTTAAAGGACATAGCATGCGATGTTCATTTTGAGAACTTTCTCTGGAAAGGTGGCCGCAATCGACGTTTACTGCTGGCTTCACAAAACTGTTATTTTCTGTGTCGAAGAGATAATTTTGGGATCGAAGCAACTTGGTACGTATCAACACATCGTTCTTACATGTGCCTAAAGTGCTTGATTTTGAACGTAAGCTTCTCTTTAGCGCTCTTCTCACCTCAGATTTTTTTTTCCAGGTACATTGACATGTGCATGAAGGATACTGATCTTCCCATCGAAAATAATATGCAACCTATTCTGGTTTTCCAGGAGAAGCTCAGGAGGCCAAGGCAAATGTGGAATCCTCCTCCTCTAACTTGTTGTTGTTGAGGACAACAGAAAGTTAGCGGAGGTTTTCTAGTCATTTTTTTCCGTATGAATTCAGTTTTATCTGCTCGTTATTTTTTGTATGATTTATTAGGAATCATGAAGAATCTCGCACAGAAGGTTTAACTCTTTGCGGACAAGGG